TAAGTTGGTTCAGTCCAAATGTTAGAAAGCAGGTCATTGAACCATGTCAAGTTGTTGGCTGCCTTTGATAGACAGATGTACTCTGCCTCTGCCGTAGATGCAGCCACCAAATTTTGTTTTCTGGTGTACCAGTGCACCGGGCAGTTGTTGATGAAGAATACGTAGCCAGAGGTACTTTTCCTGCTTTTCGTGTCACCTGCCCAGTCAGCATCTGCATAACACGATAATATAGGTTCTTTGGACTTCACCAGCTCTAAACATAGACAGGCATCTATGCTATATTTTTGCCCCCTCCCAGTGATATATTTTTGGCTCACTGACATGCCTGGACAGAAGATTGACTGCTAGGATGATATCTGGTCTTGTCCAGTTAGCTATGTATAGTAGGGATCCAATGACAGATCTATAGAGGGTATTGTCCTTAAATGGTTCACCTTCTTCGTTCATATGTTTTAGAAAGTCGGCCTGCATGAGTGTTTTGCATGGTTTGGCATCCTTCATGTTGCATTTGTGTAGGAGTTCCAATATCTTTTCTTTCTGGGAGATTCTGAATCCCTTCTGTGTTCTGTTGATTTCCTAGATACTTGTTCACTTTTCCCAATGTTTTTAGTGTGAAATGTTTTCCTAGCTTACCAGTGAAATCATTGCATTTCTGTTTATGTTGGCCACAGTATAAAATGTCATCTACATAAACGAGCACGTACTCAATAGATGTGCCCTCTTTCTTGATGAAGAAGCAGAGGTCAGCAGAAGTGGCTGTGAAACCCATGTCTTTGAGAGTTTTTCCAGGCATTCATACCACCTCTTACCAGACTGCTTCAGTCCATACAAACTTTTGTTCAACAGCCAGGTATCTCCTTTTTGTGTGTTTTTCCCCGGGGGTGCTTTGACAAAGATTTCCTTATCTAATTCTGCGTGGAGATAGGCTGTCTGTACGTCAAATTGGTAAACTTTGAGGTCTAGAATGGATGCTATTACCAGGGCGCTCTTGACGCTTTCAGCCCTAACCATGGGTTAATATGTATCAGTATAGTCCTCGGGGTATTTCTGTGCACACCCCTGTGCCACTAGTCTGGCCTTATATAGAATCTTGTTGTCCTCAAGTTCTTTGATTTTAAAGACCCACTTTAAAGACCCACTCGGTGGCGCGGCGGCAGCAGTCATAAGCCGAAGTTCGGCGGTGTGGCGGCGGCTGCGACGATGGGCCCCAGTTCGTGGTCGTTGGTGGGTTGATGTTTCGACTTCGATGGCCACTCTGTTGTTTTGTTGTGGTTTGCGGCTGGCGCGGGAGGCTTGAATGTGAATCCGAATGCTGCCGCTAAAGTCTCAATGGCCTTTTCTACTTCGAGCTCGGTAGGCGAGCTCCCGTTGGTTTGGATTCTTCCCTCTTGGTTGTTTTCGGGTTGTTCCCCATTTGTTTTGGGGGTTCTTGTTTCGCGCTGTTTGGTTTGAATCTCGGCTCCCCATTGGCTGTTGGTCATCCCAAGATGGCCGCCGGGAGCATGGCGCAAAAATGGAATTGACCATGTCTGGTGCTTCTGCTTGGGAATACCTTTCCCTTACCAGACTGGCGGCTTCATGGTTTTGTTCTTGGGTGATCATCGCTGCTCCATGGTTTTCTAGGAGGCCTTGGAGTTTCGCAATGAGCTCCCCATTGCTGATGGGCACTTCCATCATCTTCAGTATGGTCGCCCTGAATTCGTCTCTCTCTGGCGGTTCCTCTCTTTCGTAGTTGCTTGCTTCCTCTCGTGGTCTCTCGCTTCTGATGAGTGGGTTCGGATTGCAGTCCATCTCTCAGTTGTTGCGATTCTTGCTGTGGCGCCTTCAATTGCCTGTAGCTCAGCCATTTGCTTGGTGTAGGCGCTTGTATTTCTTCTGTTTTCTGCTTCAGAATAAATTACTGACTCTGCCATTATTTTGAGTTATGGGCTAACCATCCTCTGCTACCAATCTGTAAAGTGTTTTCAGGGATCCAGCCCAATAACTCCAGTACAAGTTAATTTTGAATCAAAAGCATTTATTTACATATTACTTATCTCTTGCAAGTGAATATCTGGAATGCCCCTGGACTCCTGGACAGAGACTTATATGCCAGGGAGGCGGAGTCAAGATAAGGAGGGGTCAAGGGTTGGGCTAGGTGAGGTGGATGATGTTAACCCTTGCCCTGCCATGGGAACATAATGTTAGGCATTTACTTGTGACAGGGAGGACGCTTGGTTTGTTTCGGCAGGACAGCAAGACACCCCGTCCTGCTTCCAGTCCACCCAGAAGGCTGTTTCTAACTTGTAGCTGCGCTGCACTGATCTGAAGAGGAGGACGAGGGCAGAGTGGCGTAGAAGCGCTGGCTCAGTGCTCCTCATAAGCCAGCTCCGGATCTCCCCGCTTAGTTCTCTCAGGACCTCCAAGTGATTCGTCAATGTATTCTGTCACCCACCCCTTCCATTCGTCCAAATGCTTCTCTATTCCTATTGTCTGCTCCCTTCACCTCAGGCCCATGCAGCTGCCAGGTAACAGCACCAGGCTGCCATCTGTCAGAAATGGTGTAGTTCCGTGCTTGGGCGGGGAGGGGGGTTTGGGGGTTGGACTAGATGACCTACAAGATCCCTTCCAACTTTTTTTTTCTTTTTTCTTTTTTCTTTTCCTATTCTATATTCTATTCTATTCTATTCTATTCTATTCTATTCTATTCTATTCTATTCTATTCTATTCTATTCTATTCTATTCTCTCATGCCTGCTCCAAAATAATCATGAAGTTAAAATGAAATTCCCATTCTCACAGCTCAAAATTCTTATACTGTAGGACTCTGACTCGCTCTGTCCTTCCCACCCTTTGTGAGATACAGACTCATCACCTTACACTCTTGGGAAACATAATTTTTCTTCATGTTTATGGAGATCCTTAATCATTCAGGTCAAGATTCTCCCAAAATTGATTTTCCAAAAGGCAACTGGATTTTCTTGGGGGTTTTTTCCCCTTGAAAACCTTTCACTTTTCATCCAAGAACTTTGTTCAATTCTGACAGCTGTAGCGAGAGTTGAAGAAGTTTCGTGACTAAGAAGCAAAATGTTTTCAAGGGAAAAAATCCCAATAAAGTCAAGTTGCCTTTTGAAAAAGCGCCTTTGGGGTAATCTTTCTTCCTTTGCTACACCGCAGTTAATGCTTCACTCTGGAATGTACTATGCCTTCTCTTCCCCTCCCTTTATACTTTTTGTATTCAGCTTATTTGTTCAACTCTCACACATGTTATATGGAGCAAATACAGCTGCTAAGTTCTTTCTCGCTGTAAGAAATGTTTTTCAGATAAGAGCAAATGTGTGTAGTATGGGAAGTTTCTATAGCACCTTTTGAGAATTCACTACATGCTTCAGTGAGGAGTGTCTCAAGATTTAATTTCAAACCATCATGTGTAGAAAGGTTAGAAAATCCGGAAAATTCCATGGGGTAAAAGATAATTTTGCGCAGAATCAAAATATAGGTTAAACATAATGAGAGGGGGAGGAAAAATAGAAATAAAGTAAAATGTGTACATGTACACAAAGATTTGAATATTTATAAATATATATAAGTATATATTTATAAATATTCTTTTAGAAGTTTAAAACTAAATTATGCTATCTTAGAGAGACAGGCTTTAATAAGTCAAACATTCTTCCTATTTTATACTACTACTAATAGATGCTTTTACTATGTCATTCTGATTTGCTGTAAGCAGTTTCAGATAATTATGAAGTGCAAAAGTAAAAATTATGCAATTGATTAACTTTACTGCTCAACAAAATATGAATAGTGGAGTAGCATTTGCAGAGCATTCTCTCATGTCTATTTCTTTTCAGGTGACAGAAGTTAATTTTTAACAGTGGAATGTTTCTGGGTATAACAAAATCAATTTTTAAGCACTTTTGTGTTATTGTGTTATTAATTAATCTGAATTAATTAATTTAAAGAGTTATTAAACAGTAAAAAACAGATCAAGCTCTGCAATTTTGATACAAGTTGAAAAGGGTAGGACAAGAAGATGAAATATTGTTAAGTTCTCATTAACCGTCTTATCAATAGTCTAGGAAAAAAATGTTCCTAGTGTGCAGTACTACTTCTTTTCCATTCTGAATGTCAATTCTCTTCCTTAGAGACCAGGCTAAGAAATCCATTTAGGAAAATAATGATATTGAGAAACAAATATTGAGTTGTTATGATGGTTTGTACTTCCCTTCACTCCATCTGAAATTCTGAGAATAATGAAACCCATTAACTTTACAGCCTAGCAACTTCTTAATAAACGATTATTGTATTGCGTTCTATCTAAGACAGTGTTTTTCAGAAACCCAATTTAAAGTAAGATTTGTGCACTGCCAGACACTGCCAAACTGCAGCTAGCAGCCAACACAAACATGGGAATGTTCCCAACTTAGCTAATATGGCTAGCTCCTTTGAAGAAAACCTTCTAGAGTTCAACAAAACGCTGCGATTGAGAGGGGAAGCCTTGACAAGAACTTTGGAAAACCTGGTTTGGCCAGTCCGATAGCTCTCTACTCCCTGTAGTATTGTCACAACTGGATTCCGCGACAGAGAGAAAAATCTCTCCAGAGCAGAGGTGGTATTCAGCAGGTTCTGACCAGTTCTGGAGAACCGGTAGCAGAAATTTTGAGTAGTTTGGAGAACTGGTAAATACAATCTCTGACTGGCCCCATGCCCATCTATACTCTGCCTCCCGAGTCCCAGCTGATTGGGAGGAAATGGGAATTTTGCAGTAACCTTCCCCTGGAATGGAGTGGGAATGGAGATTTTACAGTATCCTGCCATGCCCACTAAACCACGCCACGCCCACCAAGCCACGCCATGCCAACAGAACCAGTAGTAAAAATTTTTGAATCCCACCACTGCTCCAAAGCCACATTTTTTCCTGAAAAAGCAAAGTTACTTCAAGTGGTAGTTCAGTCAAATCAAATGCTAGATATAACATGATAAAATTATTTTTTGTGCACAGTAGGACTGACCAACTTAGACAAAGCAATGAACTGTAACTTTAATACATTTATATACGCAACTACAATATCACAGTTGTACAAATAATTTATGATTTGTCTTCCAAGAACAGCTGTAGAAGATAAAAAAAAAATTCCAGCATGTCAGATATAATAGAAAAATTTAAAAAGGCAGCTCATTTTAAAGAATATCCTAATCTTGTCAGGCAACAAACATTACATTATTATTGTTTAGGTGTAAAATCTTCTAACATGCAATTCAGTGTTCAACATGCAAAACTCTCAAATAGTTTTAGAGCTTTTTAGCTACTGTCTCTTCCTCCATTGCATATGAATATGTACATCTAAGAAAGTAGGCATATTGCTTCAATCATAAATCCATATAATTTACAGTTGTTGAACTTGCTACAATATTTAGAATGTTAATTCAAATGAGTGAGATACATTTATTCTAAGTTGCAAAGATGTTAAAAATAAATTGGATCAGTTGAAAAATGAGTAAACACTTGATATTTATAGAGAAAACTGCTTAGATAAGTAGGTGCAATGTGAAAGTGTTTGTATACTATATACGCATATAGATATTTAGATATAGATGATAGACAGACAGACAGTAGATATAAAATCTATGAATAGGATTTCCTTCTGAGTAGGTATTCACAGAACTGCATTGTAAGGCTTGATCTAACACTATTATAGTTTTCCCTCCTATTCAATCATGTCTGATTTTTGGTGACAGGACAAATCCCTACAGTTTTCCTGGCAAGGTTGTTTAGAAATGTTTTGCCATTTTATCTTTCCTAGGGCTAAGAAAAAGTGACTGGATTAAGGTCACCCAGCTGGCTTTATACCCAAGTTGGAAATAAACCAGTTTTTAGCCTGATGCTTTAACCACTACACTAAACTGGTTATTATAAATATTACAAATACCAAATACAAAGGCTGACAATATCAATACAAAACAAACAGACCACATGACTACTTTCCAACTGATGCTTGTAATCTAATTAATGGAGTGGTTTGGCAATATAGTATTCTAGAGCACCTTGAACAGCTCTAGATAGTGTTAATATAATATGGGAAGAATTAACCAATTTTTAAAATGGAAAAAAATACTAATCAACTCTAAAAATGTTGTCAGTAAGGGCAAGATTCTGTATTACCTTACATTCAGAAATAACTATCCCTTAGAATAAAGAATCAATGCTTGATACTTTTTTTAAAAAAAAATCTAGAATTTTATAATAAGTGCTCTTTTACAATGAATATTAATTTTCCTCTTTCATAGGATATCCCCTTGCAATAGAAAATAGCAACATTTTCTTTTTTCTTGGTTATTCACTTCTCACCTGTTTATTTGCTTCTCACCATCAATACAAAAAATGTAGCATTATTCCAAATACTTTAGAGGCCAAATCCATGCTATTAGCTACTTGGCAAATTATTATTTCAAGATGGCAGCTACTGAATTTCAGATTCTCAATTTGCTCTCAGTCAACATACTTCAGAGGACTGATTATGATCTTCTGAAGGAGAGGAACTGTTTTATGCCCATATAAAATGATTTTGAAAGGCTCAAAGTGTTCTATAGCAGAAAAAGAAGCCTAAAGATTACTCTAGTTTAATCTCAAATTCTGTTTCTTTACATGAAGAAGGAAGTGCTATTTTCCACACAAAGGAACAGTCATAAATCAATTCTCCAGTCTACTAATTTACTTTGTACTGCACCCATAACATAAATTTTGGAATAATTTTCAAAGAATGATTTTTCCAGTACTTAAATGGACAATTAAGCAAATGCAATAGAGGAAATTTTGTTGTTTTTTCTTTTGAATATTTTATAAAGCAATGTACGGTAAACAAAAACCCAAAATACTGCTTTATATTGCGCCCTTATCTATAATATAGAGAGAATCACCCATTCTTGTTTAATTAGATACGTTCACAAGATTTTTCCCACTTGGATTCAAGTTTAATTGCTATGCTTGGTTACTTCTGTACTATACTGTGTAGTTCTTCGCGTATGATTTCAAAAAGGCACTTTTTGAACATGCAAGTATGCAAATGTTCCACCTGCACACAACTCTTTAAAGCGATAACATCATTTCCTAGGTCCACATAACTGAGCCTTTGAGGCTACTTTCACCCTACTCTTCACTCTAAAACATCAAAATAGAATTGAATCCAAAACATTACACAGTTCTATTATTTGAATAAATATTATACATTCTACTGAGACATTTGATTTAAAAATTGTGCAGAACAGGAATATAGGAATGTATTTCAGGTATGAAATATCTAGTGATTAAAAATAGCCTTCCAGGAAAGTTGAGAGATAATGAAAAATGTTGCATTTTGAAAACTAAACTCCATTTATGAGAATGTATTTAAGAGAACAGAAGTTATTTCTAATATTAAAAACACAAGCACATCCTTCAAACAATGCTTAACCTTTGGTATTCCCCTTTGCAAAAGTCATAATTCAATTACACATAATTTAACAAAGTATATTAATTTTCCTGATGATTATGTTTATGTTTATTTATTTGTTAGATTTTTATCTTTATTTTTTTTAGAAGTAACTCAAGGCAAAGAATATACCATATATTACTTACTCCTCTTATTTTCCCCACAACAACCCTGTGAGGTGGGTTGGGCTGAGAGAAAGTGACTGGCCCAAAGTCACCCAGCTGGTTTTCATGCTTAAGGTGAGACCAGAACTCACAATATATTGCTTTCTAGGCCAGCACCTTAATCACTATTCCAAACTGGCTCTCCATATAAACAGCATGGCTCCCTGTTTTCCTTGACATTAGAATAATGGCTACAGAAATAAAATATTTTTTTTAAAAAAAATAATGCTAGCACTTGCAACAGTTCAAAAGTCTAATATACATATTTTGCTCAATTAGAATTACACCATGTAATTTTGTCTGAAATTAAGACAAATGACATAATTTTAGACAAAAATACTGTTTGCAAAAAATACATGGAGGTTTCAATGTCTTTCCAATTATTAAAAATATTCCCTCGAAATAGATCAGTCCTGGACTTTCCATAGAGTTTTTTTTAATGTTGTAATATGCTGCATTACTTCAATGTGATGCACATTCTGCTCCATTACCATTATCTGGTCCTTTTGCATTTCCAGGAACATTCAGATGACCTTCTTCTTTCAGTTTTGTTAATCTGAAATCTTCTCTAATTTTTTCCAACACATCTGGCTTGAAAATGACATCCAAGGCAGTCATGGCTAAAGCTTTAGCTGCTCTCAAAGCATAGAACTGAGCTTTTTCCGATCCTAGGATAATCAAATCCACAAAAGATAGAGATTTCATTTAAGTACAGGAACAATGTAGTGTAATTTCAAATCTGAAGAGATGTTTAAAACAATTTCCTTTTTAAAAGATTGCAATCTCAATTCCGCTGGAAATAGAGACTATAGAACAGTTTTCTCTTACAGATGCAGATGTATCTACCAATGTAAAATCCACATTATTCAACTAAAATTGTATTTATAAATTTGCATTGAGTTGTATCCAATATCTGTGAGAGAAGAACTCCATTCACAGGATGCTCTGGCTTGCATGAATGGCCAGCAGATTTGGAACAAATGTATCCATTTACTTGAACCCTTTAGTTGGCAAAAGGCATCTTTCTCAGGTTCTGCCTTTGCTCCTCAATTTAGAAACCAAGATGAAACAAAGAGAATTGGCGTTTACCAATTCCACAAACTCATTTTATGTCCAGTTTAGAGCCAGCTGTTGTGAAGCCATCAGATCTTTTGCCAAGAGACTGAGAAGAAAATTAATCATTGTTATGCACAGAATATAACTCTCAATGCTTATGCAAATGTAATCTGGATACATGAATTTAGCACCAAAATTAGGCATTTCTTTCTTTTTTTTTTTTTAAAGGTTTTATTGTTAGAAAATTATAATACAATTCCACCTTTCCGGTTTCATGGTGTTGATAAACACATACATATACATAATATTTACTTATTATTTACATGGTATTGCCTGATTATCTTAATTTACAAAGTACTACCCGTAGGAATTCTTACTTATATCATCCTTAATACGTATTATTACATTTTATTTACATAAACTTATATCCTTACTCCATTTTATTTCCTACTGCCTGTAGTACAACTCATTTCAATATACCCATTTAATTAATCATCAGATTGACCTTTAGCTCTCTCGAGCTTCACTTCGATTTTCTTTTCTCTAACCACTCATACCACATATCCCACACGCTATAGTAGTCAGTTTCCTCTCTATCATTAATTTCTAACGTCAGTTTGTTCATTTCGGCACATTCCATTATTTTCCTAATTACATGCTCTTTGGGTGGTAACTTTTTCTCTTTCCAATGTTGAGCGAAGGAGATTCTTGCTGCTGTTATTATATGTACAATAAGATACTTCTTCTTTCTTGCAATTTCTGTCTTCAAGATTCCCAGGAGAAATATTTTTGGTTCTAATTCAATAGCGTGTCCTATTATTTCCGACAGCCATTTACATATCATCCTCCAAAATTTTTTGGCTTGTGGACAGGACCACCAACAGTGATAAAAAGTACCTTGCTGGTGACCATACTTCCAGCAGTTTGGACTCATATTTGGGTAAATTTTGGCAATCCTGGCTGGTGCTAAGGGCCACCTATAAATCATTTTATATTGGTTTTCCTTATAAGTTGTTGCCCTGATCATTTTGAGATTGTTGTTCCAAATTTTGTCCCACTCATCCAGATTTATAGTTTGTCCAATATTTTTGGCCCATGCTAGCATTGGGTCCTTAACCACCTCCTCTATCAAGTCGTACTCCACCAAATAATTATATAATTTGGCCAATAATTTATTATCCGTGCCCATCCATATCTTGTCGAACCCATTGCTGCCTATCTCTATGTCATATTACTCTGGTTTCTCTTCAGATCGTATAAATCTTTCGCCTTTTAGGCATTTATTTCTATCCCTTCCTTTTACATCCTGAAATACTGGCCTCATAGGAGAGAACAGCTGTAAAGAGGCCATGCTTTTTACACAAATAGAGAACATAGCTGGTTAGTTTCCTAGACCAAAAAAAATGATTTTTTTTTCATATTTTCTTGGTAGAGATGTGCATCCTTACCATCAGCCCTGTTCTACTACTCTCAAAAGGCACTGGCTGCCACAACAGAATAATGTGATCACTCAAACTTGACTCCATGTGCATTTTGCCACATTATTCGCAATAGGTGGTTTTTTTTTTTTTTAATGTGAAAGATATACCCACTTTTAACTACTAACCTGCAGCTGTTGTATACTGCTCAGTATGGTTCAATGCATCAGAACCAATGTAAAAATAGGAGTGAATCCCAGGAACCACGTAACTAACATTTCCAAAGTCAGTAGAACCTAAAGAAAGCCAAAACATTTTTAGGTTTTGGAATATACCAAACAGTCTACAAAGTGGAATGTTATTGTTTGGGTTACAAATAAAAGTATTATTAAAGGGTACAGCAAATAAAAATATTCAGCTCCCTTATAGATCCTAAGTGCTAAGGTGGATTTTTTTTATATGTCAAATGTTAGGATTTCCAAGTTTTTGTCCCTCCATTTTAAGAACGTGAGAAATAAAAACAATGAGGAAACAAGAATCCTTATTAAAAGTTGACACTTCCTATCCATCATTACTGAATGTAGGGCCAGTCTATCATACAGCATAAGCAAACAGTGAATTTAACTTTGGTTATTATGTCAATCAACATTAGGTGACACTTCCTTTGACAGAAAAAAAAACTTCCAAATGTTTTGGATAGCCAGCTATTTTTTGCTTTTTATCTATTCTTGTTTTTTATTTTTTTCCCATTCCTTATGGATTTTTTCTAGCTTAGGAATAGTGTTATGTCAGATCTTATTGCATGCATTGCATGTTTCAAAGGTCCCCACAGATTTTTGATAATACTGATGTCTTGGGACTATGTTTCTTGTAAAAAGTTCATGGGAATTCTTGGTGTATATCTCATATTTCTGAAATATGCAACATCTTTTCAGCTTCTTTGTTAACTGTAGGATATTAGCTTTTAAAATATATACATATTTAGTTAAACCCCTTCTCAACTGCACAGTATTTTCTGGGTCACTGGCTACCATACATCCTCCAAGCATAATAAAGCCACACCCATGTTTAATGGATGCCAAAATGTTTCAAACTTATTGAGATTTTCTTTGGCATAATTTAGGAGATGATAAATGTGATGAGGCCAGATAAATGGTTTCTTTTGACAATTCTCTAAGGCAGATATTCTTCAATAAAATTATATTTTTAAAAAGGGGCTATATGTTAACTGTTACCTGTTAACTCATTTATACTGTCATCAGAAATGAAGTCTATGCCAAGCTTCTTGCCATTTTCTTTGTAAATTTTTTGTAGAGTCTTATTAGGAAGCACATTGTAGAAATCAGTTTCACTATCTTGTAATTCCACCTAGACAAGAAAAAAATATTTGGAAATATTAGGCCATAGGAAATAAAGAACTTATTATTCAATCCTAGGCACATTTCATTCAGAAAACCCTAATATACTAAAAATAACAATAAAATTTAAATCTTTTACACAGGTATTTGAAATTAAACCATAGTTAATACAATTGGATTTATACTACAGTAAACATATAAAAACTTACTGCATTATTTGTAACTGATTAGGACTAATCCACCCTTTTTATCCTAAAGGGATAAAAGTTCTCAGATTGTGAGAATTGTGGTTCCTTCCAAAATGGCATCGGCTCTGTGGGACCCAGCCAGGTTGGAAGTAGGCCCTAGGGACCCAGTGGGGCAGGAGGGGGGTGGCAAGATAGGTGGTCAGTCATAAACATTGCCAAGCGCCTGAATTTTATTCATGTGATGATGGAAGCCCTGCAGTGGCCACAACTCTGGGTACAGGTTGTCAATCACATCATTCAGTGTCATCATAATTTTGAATGATCACTGAACAAATGTTCTAAGTCAAGGACTATCTGAATGTAGAATAATGGAAATTGTGGATACTAGCTAAATAACTGAGTTTGAGTTAATAATTCATGAATTTGCCAATAGATACAATTAATTATAGTAGTTAGAGAGCACTTTTTAGCCATCTCTTCCCTACATACTACGGTAGTTTTGATCAGTACTTGAACAATTCACAATTATACATAAGGCAAACTTAATATTGCACTGCTATTCTTTCAACTCAAATAATCCATGTTTTTTTAAAAAATCAGTTTATATTATTCTTTGGAAAAGTTATCCAGCAGTCTTACTTCACACCCAGTTGCTAGAGCTGCAGCTTTAAAACAATTCTCTGCTTTTTCCTTTAAGGTAGAGAGTTCCCTTAAGGAAGGAGCACGCAAGTAAAATTCTAATTCAGTGTAAGAAGGGATGATATTAGGCTTCACACCTCCATTCTTTATTATTCCTACAATGAAGAAGAAATAGGTAATTGAAATTAGTTTGGCACTTAAGTTTTCTGAGGCTTATTGCAAAACAGCTAAACAGAAAAGTCCTAACTTGATCCAAGGCTCTCTGCTTTGCCAGTAGATAAATGAGAACTTACACTGAAGACACTCAGGCACTAAAGAAAAGCAATGGACATCTGAATTCCAAAATCAGGAGTTTCCACTTTCTACTGTATTTCTCTGTTGCTTATTTATTGCTCTTAAAATTGAAAAAAAAAAAAAAAACCTTCTCACCCTATCTATACCAAGCAGAGCCAAATAAGAAATATCAAGCAGAAGCAAAATATATTTACAGTATATTAGGAAGAAATTAGGATAAAACCACCCTTTCGTATTTTAATTCTTAGGGCCTCAACTTTTGGTTAAAACTGGACAATTTAAAATGTCATATTTAGTTCAGCATCCATATCAATGCATTTTCAAATACATTTCTCTTTTTTTCTGTTCAATATAATTATGCTAGAAAGAAGAACAGAGCTAATGTATTTTTGTATTGTACACTGTATTATTATCAGCCAAAACCTCTGAAGGACATCCATGGTATATTGCACATTTACTCTAACCCCTGAATCTTTTCCAGACCTGAAAAATATTGTGAAATATGGGGGGTGGGAGGGTGTATGTGTGTACATATATACATTTGTTTTTATTTGCTTAAGTCTAACATATACCTCAAGAAAAAAACATTTGATGCCAGTTTTAAGAGTAGGAATTACTTCATACTTCCCTGCTCTGATTTGAAAGCATGACTTAATCTCAAATTTACTTTCATTCTAGCATAGAAACAATTTAGTCATGAAACTGAAATGGAAATACATCATAATTGTAATATTACTAAAATCAAAATTCATAATGCATGATAATAAATATAAAATCAGGAAGAAATACTGAAATCTGACATGATACACCTGATAGATCTACAATTACAATTATTTATTTTCTCTACTTCTTTCTTCAGGTGCGCTCCATGTTTTTCTGTGGGAAATCACCGTAATTCTAACCCCAAAAGGTTTAATCTATTTTCTCTCTTATGGGACATTACAATAATTTTTAGGCAAGCAATTTGGTTCTGTAACAACTCAATGCAGGCAACTGGGTGTGGGCAGCTTGGGGCAGCCCCCTCACCACCACCAAGTCCCCTTACCAACTCACTGCTGCCAGGTTGTTGCAGAACAACCCAACATGAACAATTTGTTGCGGGAACAACTTGCTGTGAGTGCCTGGGGGTGTGTGGGTGAGCGAGGGGGAGAGGTGGCAGAGCCAGGGGTGTGTGTTGGGGTGAGCAAGTGAGGAGAGATAGCTGAGCAGGTGGGCGGAGCGGTGGGTGGGGAGGAGGTGGCAATCAGGGTCTTCTCATTCTCACATCCCCTGCTGCCGCTACCACTGCCTTGCCCATCCAGCTGGGCAAGGCGAGGCAAGGCAAGGCGGTAGTGAGGGTGTAGTTGGGGATGGGTGGTAGCTTTATCACTGCTGCCCCCCCCCCCCACTTAATTGCAGGGCCTGGGCTTCTGCCCCACTGGATATTGTGTGAGACAGTCGGAAAGAGCACTGGGGCACACAAACATTTGCAGAGCACCAGAGTCAAGGAATGTTAAGGTATGGTGGTAGTGGCAGCCATGAGTCCTTTCTCTGCCAGGAAGAGCCAAGGTGGGAACTCCACAGCCACTATGGAGAGATTTTAGAGGAGCTGATAGAGCATTGGGGCAATGTTCCCTCCAAAGCCAGGAGGGTGATTTCATGATGTTTCTAGTCATGTGCAGAGTGCGTTTCTCTAGGAGAACAGAAGGGATAATAATAGGAAGGGGAGGTCTTCCTGAGCCCAAATTTCTTGTCTGGAGTGTCGCTAATGGCATTTTCTCCCTGGGCTCAGTAGCCCTTCACACCTGCACTCTGTTCCGGCTCTACCTGCCACCAGCATGGATGAGACCAGGTTGGCAGTCTCTAGTCGGGCTCCACAGGACCAAATCACCAAGAAGGCAAAGGAAGAAGCCAAAAGGTGGTTGGGCCACTGAGTCAAACCATGCCCTCCCCAGATGTGTTGCAAGAAGCAACCCTCACCTACCCCTGGCCAGTACATCTGTCTGGTTGGAAGGAAAAGAGATCCCAATCCTTTCTGTGTGTTTTCCCATCTTGTATGCCCAAGAAAGCTTTGCAAATCAGGTGAGTGGAAAAAAAATAGAAAACACTTTATTATCACAACAGGATCTGTTAATGTTAATTATTATTATAAGTAATTAAGGATTATTTGTTCATTCATTTGGTGTTTTGCTGACACAGCAGTTTATTTGTCTGAGCTGCATCCAAGTTGCCAATTGTCCTTTGCTCTGCTCTCTTTTTTGCCCTGTGGGGATACGGTGACCATATTTCATTGGAGGAAAGAAATAAAGAATAAAGAAATAAAGAATAACCCTGAAAGGGAGCAAATCTAAAGGGGCTTCCCATTTTCACATTCCCTGCTGCCACCGCCATTGCTTCCATGTCAACCTCCAGGCCATTTGGAGTTTGGACCATTTGGTAGTGGCGGTGATGGGTGGGATGGTTGGGAGGAAGCAGGTGGCAGCTGGGAGCTTCAGATTTGCTCCCTTTCAGGCTTATTCTTTATTTCTTTCTTCCAACAAAATATGGTCACTGTACCCACAGGGCACAAAAGAGAACGGAGCAAAGGACAATTGGCAACTTGGATGCAGCTCAGACAAATAAGCTGCTGTGTCAGCAAAACACCAAATGAACGGACAAAATAATTGGCAGAGGCTGGCTGGAATAATCTTTAATTAATTGTAATAATAAGTAACACTCATAGGTCCTGTTGTGATAATAAAGTGCCTTGTATTTTTTTTTTCCACTCGCCTGATTCATACAGCTTTCTTGGGCATACAAGATGGGAAAACACACAGAAAGGGTTGGGATCTCTTTTCCTTCCAACCTGCCAGATGTGTTGGCCAGGGGCAGGTGAGGAGGGTTGCCTCTCGCAGCACACCCGGGGAGGGTATGGTTTGACTCAGTGGCTTAACCACCTTCTGGCTTCTTCCTTTGCCTTCTCGGCAGAGCAGGTGATTTGGTCCTGCGGAGCTTAGCTAGAGGCTGCCAACCTGGTCTCATCCTAGATAATCTAGTTTTATTAATTCTTTTGCTCATTTTGGAACAATGTACTTATTTTAAAAGAGTTACAATCAAAATATTATTGTCTCAAGCTACTTTAAATTTGCCATATCCTAAGCTTTGCAATGTGACATCTATAATAAGCTTCTATTCATTAAATGTAATGTGACAGTTTTAAAATTATATCTATGGTATTAATAAAACAGTTTCATTCAGGGATGGGGAAATTTCTCACCCTCCAGAGTCAGATAGATAGATATATATACCCAAAAAGATCCCATGGTACAGATATTCAGAAGCTGTCAGAAATATCTGAAAAGACCAAGTATGTATTTTTGAGTCCTTGGGTAAGCAGTATCTCTTCCCAATATTTGAGATTATAATTTCATAATCATAGATTATCCAACATATTAAGGTTTATATGATATAAAGCATAAAGATTACTTTGAGCCACACGTTTCTGAAATTAATATACAAAATCATCTTGCTTTGTCAGCAGCCCATTAAATGATGAAACATTTAGAACTCCTATTGCCACACAGAATTAATTTCCGCAGCAAGATGAAAATAAAAGAATGGAACATCCCATACCCAACCAAACTGTTCCATACTTAAGATATTTATATAGTAACAAATACTGCTGTATAAATATCCTGGGAAATTGCTCATTTGAAGAGAATGTAAAAACTAAAACAGTGAACAATTAGGCAATGCTATGAACCAATTTACATCTTTCTAAAAAACAATTGCCATACCAATTAAAAATCCACTTATATAATGCTTGTTGTTGAGGTGTGTGCTGACTTCCTGAACATGTCCCTGCAGTTTTCTTGGCAACATTTTCAAAAGTGGTTTGCTACTGTCTACTTCTTAGTATTGTGAGAGAGTGACTGGCCCAAAGTAATCTAGCTAGCTTCCTGCCTAGTTTTCTGATTTCTAGCCTAGTGCCTCCAATTACCCTACAGATTGGTGCTTTACATGATGCTTAACATTTAGCTAATCATTCTCAGTGGCATAACATGTTCATTTTAAAAGCAGAAAGCTGCTTGAATTACAAACTGGCATACAGATGCCTTGTCTACTTAAATGCTTTTCTTTAGATTTATTTCAATGGTCAGAAGAAAAGCTAAATGCTTACTAGAAAGTTAATGTAATAAATACAACTTAAGGATGGCTTAGTTTAGTTTAAAATTATAGAAAAAATAATCTTCTGTAGCCAGCCTAACTAGCAACAAATTCACCTACAATAACTCTATTATGATCAACCTAACATGGACCCAAAATGGACAGAAGAAAAAAAAACAAAACAAAAAAAAAAACAGTATCAGCACAGATTTGCACCTGGAAAAAGAGCGTTTCATAGCAATATTTACAGATTTCCTCGAAGTCCCCTACCAACTTCCATGCAATTTTGAGGAGGTAGATCACCTGGGGGATAAAACACACCATCACTTACTCTCTCCTATAGTGTTAGTGAACTGTACAAATTACTGTTTGAAGGGAGCAGTATATAAATTGAAGTAAATTTAAATTAATGATTTCTGCCTAAGACTTCAGAAGCTATGTCGTTCTAACTTAAGAGAGTATGAAATGAAACCTTCACAAAGCAGAAACTGGATGGATGAAATACAGAAAAGAGAATTATCTGGAAAAGGAGATAATTTGCCTCTACCAATAAGTCACTAAATAAATATTTTATCTAGGTCAAAACAGATGTCATGTCGCATGTGGAACACTTTTTATCTTCTATTTAAGGTATATTAATTCCCTTATTATATATGTGTAATACTCTGAAAGGAAACCCCAACAACTGGAAATAAAATCCAAATATTTTATTAAACAAGATCAAATGGCATGGAAAAATGGTGATTAAAATACCCTAAAGACAATATTGGGAAAAACAAATTATTTATCCCTTAACCAAGAATCTTTTGCTTTTTAGATAATTTATGAGAGATTTTTTATATATATATCATATTTAAGGAAACCATATGGATTTCATTTAACTCCATTTTTCATTATTATTATTATGTAGCTATTAGATACATATTGCATATAATTATTTTTAAAGCATCCACAATAATTATCTTTGGGATGCAAGATAATTCAGTCTCTTTCAAGAAATGTCCTTAAATTAAGCATTTATATAATAAAATTACTGATTTCACCATGATTACTTCTAAATGCATACATATGTATTTCCTTTATATATCTAGAGAATGAATGCAAGTTCTTCCTCGGGCAAAGGCCATATTTAGTTTTTGAATTAAACTAACTTCAGAATGGAGGATTAAAGCTACATTTTTATTTTATTTACATTTAATTAAAATTAAACATGTTAATTTAACTTTACACTCTGAAAATATGGATTTAATGATTATGTAAAAGCTAATTTGATAGCATTAGCTGCTTCATATTTTCATATGAAAAACAGAGTTCTTACCATTATGCATTTAATACCACACTGGAATAATTAAAACTAATAAACGTAAGCAGCTGTTCATTGTGTATAACATTATTAACATGCCAGATAGAACACATTTGCTTAATCAGGGTCTTATATAACTTGTTGGACTTAAGAGTGAAGGAAGGTCTCACCATGTACTCTCCATGTCGGTTTCATTTGCTGTCTTAAAAGGGACAGATTGTTGTATGCAAGCACAGCAGCATCTAATGCATTTAGTCCTTCCCAAGGGTAAGCAGCAGCATGAGAAGTTTTTCCATAGTATTTCACAGTCACACTAGGAAATAAAAGTCATCGCTTGTTTTTAAACAATTTTAAAGGAAACAAAATCCCTTTGGGTTCATTTCATGAAAATAATTTTAAGGAGGTAAGTGCATGCTGCATTGTATAGTATTACTTCAAAGCTCTACAAAGATCTGAAACTCAACAGCACAAGGTTATGAATGGAAGGTGATACAGAGCTTCCATAGTCAAAGCTAATCTTTGGCACATAAAATGAAGCCTGGAGGAAATTAGTGAATTAGTACCTAAAATCTTTAGCAAAACCATGTAAAAAGAACATGTTAAACATGTATGAACATGAAAACATCCTGAAGTTTTATTAAAGGTTTATCTTCTCTACTGTCTTCTTTCTACAGTAGCTTTGCTTGCACCAATTTTGTTTAATCCATGGTTTACTGTTTAAGCCAGAGCCTATCTAAAAAATGAGCATATTAAATGTGCTTTGTTTGGTCATTCCTATGTTTCCTTCCACTGTTCTTGGCCAGTATCTAGTACAGAGCAAACCCAGATAAGACTAACTCATTTGCTCTTCCTAGGACAGGAAAATGAACAAATCTCACTATTGTTTACTTCTATATGCTAACCCAGAAATCATTTCTAGACAGGAAAAAATGTTTTACAGAACACAACACACCTGCATTAGAAGTGTAGTTATACAGATTAATTTCTCACAGTAATTCAAATAAAGAAATCTATGTGTCACAGAGGAGCTCCATAGAAGACCAAGTCATCTGAACTAGGCCAAAATAAAGAGGTAAGACAGCAGATATTTCTTTTATGCAGTGTACATGACTGGTAAAATATATTTTACTTCCTTTCCAAAGATAAAGTCTTATTTGACTTGAGCTTGACTATGGTTATGTCCCTGTAGTTCTGCTGGCAATGAAATGAAGGCTGTTTGCCATTGCTTTCCTACAGAATGTATGTTTCACCTCCCTCACTTGCAGCCATCCTTCTTACTGGTGGCCTCTCATTTGAATACTGAGTCAAACTCTGATCAGCTTTTTTGAGATCAACTCAGGGGTGAAATGCTCCCGGTTCGGACCGGATCAGCCGATCCGGTAGCGATGGCGGCGGGGGGTTCAGAGAACCGGTAGCAAACATCCCTGCCCCCCCCCGCCCAGCTGAGCCGCACGATCATCAGAGGCTTTTTTTTTTACTTTTAAAAGCATTTTTTCTACAACCTCTTCGGCCAAAAAAATGCTTTTAAAAGTTAAAAAAAAAGCCTCTGATGATCGTGCGGCTCAGCTGGGATCGTCAGAGGCTTCTAAAAGCATTTTGTTCTGCAACCTCTTCGGCTGAAGAGGTTGTAGAAAAAAAATGCCTTTAAAATAAAAAGCTGAGTTGCCTGATCATCAAAGGCTTTTAAAAGCATTTTTTTCTGCAACCTCTTAAGGTTGTAGAAAAAATGCTTTTAAAAGTAAAAAAAAAGTAAAAAGTAAAAAAAAAAAGTTGGCCACGCCTACCCAGTCACATTACCCCACCCCACCCCACCAAGCCACGCCCACAGAACTGGTAGTAACAAATTTTACATTTCACCACTGGATCAACTAATTGCCCAAATGTGGTCACCCATCTGTTTATTTCCAAATAAACATGTGTTTGTTAAATCTAGAAAAGTAATATACTAAAATGACAGCATTGATAATGAAAAACATGATAAAATATAACATTTGACTAACAGGAACCGAGTTACAAATGCAATCTTAAAAATAATGAGTGAAAACTGAATGTTTATAAAGCATTATGAAATTATGAAAAATTACCGGTATATCAAGAAACAGAATTTGGGAATGTTAAAATTTCAACCCTATTTTGCTGATTTAGAATTTATTGGCAAATATCTAAAACTGAAACAGAAATCTTTCAGTAGCTGCACCTTCATTGTAGAATAGTCTTCACTAAGAGATTAGGTAGGTCTCAATTGTTATAGGCTCCAGATATTCCTGATGAGGGCTCTATGATGAGTGATAAAATGCCCATCTGAACTGTTTTTAGGCATAGGTATTTAAATTTTATATATTTAAGTTCCAACTGTGAATGTTTTATATTAAATCCTTGTATCACTCCTTATTACAGTAAGCCATCAGTGTCTCATAATTACAGTGGGGGAAATATAATAACAGCTGGTAATTATTGCTTATTTCACTTTATCACAGCCTTCCAAAAATCACTGCATGAATACATGAAACTAACTATAATTGTAGTTTGTTTTTCCTTACATTCATGTTCTTTTCATCTTATTGATTTCTGAATTTAGGAAAAAATACATTTAAAACTATTCTACTTATATATTTATAATTTACTCAGCATGCTAGGGAATTCTGATTCTGCAAAGAATTATAAGTAAAGGAATGTGCACTTCTTTCAAAACAGAGGAACTCTGGATTATAGCTCATATTTTTCATTCACAACACTGAATATTATGCTTCACTTAATGCTACTGGTAGATGCCTGTACTCATATTGTATTTCATATAAGTAACTACCAAGCATGATAGATTTCTAAGCACAAATGAAAAATCTGTATGCATAGTCCATTGATGATACGATATGTGTGTCACAGAGGACATGCCAGATCACTGAATGCTGGGAAGATGAAAGGTAATAGAAGAAAAGGATGATCAGCAGCAAGGTGGATGAACTCAGTTACAACAACGATGGGTGCACTGAAGGTCTGAAGACTTGAAGGCCTAGGTTAAGGACCAATGGCCTTAAAGAAAATTTATCTATGCACTCATTAAGATCTGACATTGGCTTGATGATACATAATCAATTCCCATCCCATGTAATGGGCCTTCATAAAAATGATGAGCGCCAAAGCTCAAAGACAAAAAAGCAGAACATTTAAGATTAGCAAAGATCTGCACATTTCATAACATTGTTTTAGAAGATGCATATAACCCATACAATAAATGTGCTACACATTAATTTTAAATTTAGAACTTACAGCGTAAAAAAGATGGTTTTCCCAAATCATTTCCTAAATAAACTTTACAAACACATCAGAATATTCTTTTCCAGAGCACAAAACAATTGTGTAGATTTGTGCTGCATTATCAGCATTGTCTCAAATAACCAAGCAACTTGCAAAGGACACTTCAGAACTTAATTTATTTGGGTCATGCCTGGGTTTAATTTATTAGCATGAAAAAGAATGAAACAGGGCAATATACGAAGAACCAAAGATTCCATTTCTAGAACAAGTATTTGTTGGTAAATTCAGCCTTCCAGTATCCATGAATCCTTCTGCCTATTTATGCCTATAGATACATTTTTTAATTAAGAGTGAGCATGAAATGAAACACAGAATTTAAGATATAAACCTATTCATGTAAAGGTTACGTCTGTTTTTCTGTTAAACGCATTGGTAACAATTACTATCTGAACTTGCTTTCTTCTCCCTGCTCCATCTCAGCTTTTTCCTTTCTTTTTCATCTTTTATACTATATCAATCTGTAGATAGAGATGACCTGCGGGCTTTTTCAGATGAAGAGAAGCACACAAAATAGTGCCTCTGACAAGGAATACTACTAGCAGGCAATATCTGGTCCTAAGGCTGAAGCAAAAGGTAGGTTGTACCTGAACATTTTTATAATTTTGTTTAGCTAATAAGATGTGGCATATAAACACTGTAAACAATTATTAGTTAGAAAATATATTTTTGTTTCCTAGGATTCTGTGTTAGAAATGTAATCGGTTCTAAACTAGAAATCTAATGCTGACTCATTTGAGAAGTAAATGAGAAATAACTTTCTATAAAATGTGCTAAGTATAAGGAGTAAGGGACGCGGGGGCTCAGTGGCTAAGACATTGAGCTTGTCAATTGAAAGGTCGGCAGTTCAACTGTTCGAATCCCTAGTGCCACATAACAGGGTGAGCTCCCATTACTTGTCCCAACTTCTGCCAACCTAGCAGTTCGAAAGCACTTAAAAAATGCAAGTAGAAAAATAGGGACCACCTTTGGTGGGAAGCTAACAATGTTCCATGAGCCTTATAGTACAGCTACATGTCACATGACAAAGTAGTCATTTGGAAATACTGAAAATAATAACATGGTAAAAGGGGAGAAAGATGTACTTGTTGCAACCTCTATAATGATGAAGTTTCATGAACTTTTAAAAATAGTTGCTTAGTTGTTTTTTTTTAAATAAAATATTGGACTACTGATAGCTACACATTCATAAAAAATTACAATATAAAAATATTCAAATTAAATGAATACTGCATATTTCAGATATATCTGATAACTGATTTCTCCTGATTTCCTACTATTTTATTTTACTTTAATTTTACATGTAATACATTACCAAAGAAGTTACTGAAAGGTCACAAAACAGGATGCCATTTGTGATATTTTCCTTACTTCACAATTACCAAATTCATATTGCCAAGTATATTACCAAGCAAAACTGAACCAATAAGCAAATATGGAGCATTGTAAATAAGCAGGTAAGAAAGGAATTCCATAGCCCTGCTCTGGGATAACAATAATGTGGGAGCCTTTGGTGTTTAGCAGATGTTTGGGTAATATATAGCTGTGGAGTTTATAGAAAATCAATAGAGGTATCATCAGGAATGCCTGCAAGGTTGTGTATATGTGTATGTGTCAAAAAAGTCAAGATGGCAGGCATGCCCTTACAATTAAAGCCCTACCTCTTTGTATAACTGGTGGAACATACAAAGAGGTGAGGGATTCAACTGTGCAGTTACATCCACTATTTTTTTTTTAACATCCTCACAACGACAGAAGCCCCTGTAAAAGGGTAATGGCTGCTCCATTTTCTAGTTATAAACAACTGGCTTATATTTACTAGTTATAAACAATTGGCCAATACTACTGGGCCGAACTTAGAATTACACTGCTTAAAAATGAGAAAACAAGAAAAAAAAAATCAAAAACAGTACAGGCAAGTTATTACAGGTAATCCTCAATTAATGACCACAATTGGGATTGGAACTTGCTTTATTAAGCAATGCAGTTGTTAAGTGAGTTGCCCCCAATTTTATGACCTTTTTTGCCACAGTCCTTAAGTGAACCCTAGTTCCTCCACTGGTTTTGATTGTTGGAAGCCCACTGGGAAGGTTGCAAACGGTGATCACTTGACCATGGGACCTGTAACTGTTGTAAACACATGCCATTTGCCAAGTATCAAATTTTGATCATGTGACCGTGGTGACTTTGGCAGTTGTATGTGTGACGACTGGTTGTAAGTCACTTTTTCAAGAGCCATATCTTGGAACAGACATTAAATGAGTAATAATAATTCAAGGGCTACCTGGAATAACTATTTTTTGTAGAAGCAGTTTCTGAAAATGCTTACCCCCGTGTTTAACAAAACAACACAGAGCCCTGGGTAAGCTATGGTTGCAAGAAATTGTTGCTTTTGCTTATCGTAGATATTGTTCCTTTCTCTTTGGGAATTAAAGTTTGGCATTCTGCCACCTTCAAATATTAAGACAGCAACACTGAATACAAGTGAATTATTGGTAGTGGTGGCAACTGTTATTTCTGACCATTGCTGCTTCCCTAGTAAGGTATAATATAATAATGAGTACTAACCATGAGTAAGAACAAGGGCCATTTTAGTAGGACTCCTCAAATGTAGGAGTAATGTAGAAGCAAGAAGAATTCATGCTGTTGCTACAACTGTCAGTCAAAGGAACAAAAATGTTAATAATGGAAGTGGCTCTAAAGCAATAAAAACTGAAATATGGACTTCTGATGTCCCTCCTATATTATCTACCATTTTCCTCCCAAAGAGACCCTTCAGGATATTATATACGGAGCACAGAACCTCAACTTTTGCTTAACACAGGCAAAATGAAGAAGTTTACTGCTGAATTACATAAATGTGTTGTAGGGTGTTGTTCACGAACTGACACAAAAGATGAAAAAGGATTCCGAGCAGCCTTCCGAATCTAAAAGGAGATCAAAAGGCACAGGACCCTTTTTCAGACACTCTCAGCAAAGCTTTCCCACTCCTCCGTACTCACTCGTGTTCTGCAATATCAGGTAAATAAGCTGCATCTTCTTGAGAGGGATGAGCCATAAGAACAACATCTAAACTATCAAAAGCTCCAGCTTTAATTAAGTCTATTTTGCCTCCTCCATCTTCTTCAGCAGGGGTACCCAGCACTGTGATCTAAAACGAGAAGATGAGAAGACATCAGGGTCTGGAAAAACAACAACAGCACATCCCGCCTGGGAATCCCAGCCAGGGAAAGCCTGTTTACTGGGATGCGTGTGCTCCTCTCTTCAACACTGCGCTCAGACTGACATTTTCAAAATGCATAGCTTTCTAGATAAAGATAAGAGATTTACAAAACAACAACGAAGGAGGAAGGGGGGGGGAGATATGCTCAAAATCTGAAGTTAGCATTTTATAATCCCGTGTGCTCCCTAGCATTAAAACCAAGGAGGGTGGTGAAGAGGACCAAGATGCCAACTCACTTAGACTGTGTTGTTTCTCTGTGTCATATAATATATGTATAATCTTTTTTCTTTCTTTCTTTTCTTTCTCTTTCTTTCTTTCTCTTTCTTTCTTTCTGTCTCTTGCTTGCTTGCTTACTTGCCTTTCTTTCTTTCTTTCTCTTTCTTGCTTGCTTGCCTCTTTTTCTTTCTTTCTTCTTTCTTTCTTTCTCTTCCTTCCTTTCCTTCCTATCTTCCTTCCTTCCTTTCCTTTCCTTCCTTCCTTTCCTTTCCTTCCTTCCTATCTTCCTTCCTTCCTTCTTTCTTCATATTTATGTAGTGTATATTGGAGGTGGTGAGTTGTATGCAACGAAATTTCATTTTAAGGTCTGTCGATTAGTGTACGTTTAAAGTAACAATAAAGTTATTCTAAGCTTCTCACCTTAACAGCGGGCGCCTGGCGAGGGAGGCCGGCGGGGCTCTGGCGAAGGCTTTCCAGGGCGCCCTTCAGGCCCAGTGCGGCGGCGGCTCCCACTTCGGCGATGAGGTTGTGCCCGCAGGCGTGCCCGATGGAGGGCAGGGCGTCGTACTCGCACAGGAAGGCCAGCCGAAGCGGCGGCGGCTGCGGGAGACCCTGGCTGGCTTCGGCGGGAGAGCAGGACGCCCCGTCCCATTTCCAGTCCGCCCGGAAGGCCGTTTCTAACTTGTAATTGCGTTGCACCGACCAGGCGGCCGAAGAGGAGGAGACGGGCAGGCCGGCGAAGAAGCGCGTCAGGGCGGCGTGAGCCTGGTGCTCCTCGAAAGCCAGCTCCGGGTGGCTCCAGATCTCCCGGCTTAGCTCGCCCAGGCGCTGCGAAGACTCGTCGATGCATTCAGCCGCCCATCGCTTCCATTCGTCCAAGCGCATCTCCGAGGCGGACGACGCCTCCCCTGCTTCGTTGGGTCTCATTGCAATGGTCGGACAAAAGGAAGGAAGCGCCGGAGAAAAGAAAAGGCAGCAGAGGGACTGTTCTCAGCTTTCCGAGGAGAGGAAAAATAATAATAATAATAATAATAACGCTGCATTAAAAAAAAAATACCCCTAAAAAAGGACTAGCGGCTGCGAAACTCGCCGAGCAGTCTGAACTTCACGTTGCCCGAGAGGCATCTTATATATCCTCGTTTATTTCGCAACTCTTTCCCTGGAGCCTGCTGGGAATAGTAGTTTTTTTTTTGTTGTTTTAATTTTATACTGTACAAGTATTTCTGAACTGGACTTCTGCCAGAATTGCACCACTGGGGCGTTGAAGTACTGAAACTGTAAACAATGTAAAAGAAAACATGATGTAAGATTCTAAAAGCGATGGAATTTGCAATGTCACGCCTTTTAATCTCTCTGTAGGGTTGCATTCTGACGACTAGACTTGACACTGTCAACATTGACTTTCTATATATTCTTGAAAGGCAAGGTGTCATTTAAAAACCCATTTTTGACCTACAGCTTGATCCATGGTAGCTGTATTCCTAGAATTGTTAGGATTGTTAGAAATTTAAGCTACTTCCAGTTTTATATAAGTAATTTGAGAGCAAGGTCAACGAAAATATTCATATAAACGTTTTCCTGAAACTGATCAGATTTATCTGACAAATATTGATATTGACAAATATTGAGGATATTTTTACGCCGCGCATTGCATCAGACAATTGCACTTGTATTTTTGTACCATGGGTGTGTAAAATTCTGCAACTTTCAATTGGTTTACAAGGATACCATCTGTTAAGGTCACATAAGGAGCTATTATATCATGTTTAATGCAGCTTACCACAACATGCGAACAACAACATGAGAAGACTCCGCGGGAGCACACAACCCACCGCCCTTTTTCAGTTCGGGGCGGGGCCGGGGCTTTCACGCGATTTTTCCCGACAGAACTACAAGTTCCATCACCCCTTGGGGAGGAAGGGGGCGAAGGCTCGTGACGTCTCGTCCGTTGCTAACGTGCGCTTAACGCAGGGGTCCCCAACCTTGGCAACTTTAAGACTTGTGGACTTCAACTTCCAGAATTCCTCAGCCAGCAAAGCTGGCAAAGCTGGCTGAGGAATTCTGGGAATTGAAGTCCACAAGTCTTAAAGTTGCCAAGGTTGGGGACCCCTGGCTTAACGGTTCCCTTCTTGGCACCAGCGGTCGAAGGCATTTTGCCGCCGCTACCTCCGGCTTGGGTGTTTGCTGAATTGGTGCCCCCGAGTCCCGACCGTTTCGACTTTGGCACCAGGGGGAGCAGGAGCCGGCGAAGAAGGGCAGCCTTGGGGATGGGGAAGCGTGTGCAACGCGGAGTTCAACGGCAGACCGGATAGGGCAAAAGTCGCCGTTTAACTTGAGAAGGAGGAAGGGAGAAGCCGGCGGAACAATGTTCAGTCGCAAGATAAGACGGAATCTCGATTGGGAGCCAAGATTGGGGGGGGGGAGTAGCTCCCCGCGCGCAGCCGCAGTTGGTTTCCTATCCTTTGCAAGTAGCGTTTTAGCCGAGCGAAAGGTTCGTCTGGTGCAGAAATGATGCAGATCTCGTCCAGCTTTGTAGAGCTTTAGTCCCATCAATCCCGCAGAGAGCGAGACTGAAACGAACAAAAAAAAAAAAATCCAGTGCTTCTGAGCAGGACGCCTGTTTCTAGGTAGTTTGGTATTGCCATCACTAAAAAAAAAAAAAAAAAAGATCAGCTATGCTTGATGCCCACCTAATTTTGTCTTGTTTGTTTTATTAAATTTGTATACCGCCCTACTCCCAAAGGACTCAGGGCGGTGAACAGGCACAGGATAAAATACAGAAATACAAAAGTTAGAAACAATTTAAAACTAAATTAAATAATTTAGCCCACGACAGTTTAAAATGCCAATAATTTAAAAACAAATTAAAATTTCAGTTTAAAAATTTAAAAGAAAGGGGAGAAAAATTAGGCCAGGCCGGCTTGCTGAAATAAGAGGGTCTTAAGAGCACGGCAGAAAGTGCGCAGATCCGGGATCCAGGTCTTGATCAACAGCGCCGCAGCGGATAACCAATTTCGTTTTGTTTACTTTCGTACAATCCTTTTATCAGACCAAGCAATTCAGAATCACAAAATTGGAAGGAACGTTGGAAGTTTTATTTAGCCTAACCCCTTGCCATAACAGGAATCCTCAGACCGTTCCCAACAAATGGCAGTCTGACCTTTGTTGAAACTTTCACTGATAAGAGCATCCACCACTCCAGGAGGTAGGCTTTACACTACTTAAAATTCCTCACATTATTAAGAAAATTCTTTCATAAAATTTTGGATCCCATTCTGTAAAGATTGGTTCTTGTTTTACCCTTAGGTGGTAGGTATAATAAATTCATGCCCTCTTTTCTTGTGACAGCCCTTAAAGTATTGAAAGTCTGCTATCAAGCCTCCACGTAGGGGAGTTTTTAGTCTAAACATGCCCAGTTCTTTTAACCATTCTGCACAGGAGTTAGCTTTCAAGTCCCTCTTCATTTTTTGTCTCTCTTCTCTGTACTTGTTCCAAGTCTTCAGCATCCTTCTTGTATTGTGCTGGCCAGAACAGGGCATAAAATTTTTGGTGTGGCCTGACTAATGCAACATAGAATGGAAATACTACTTACCATAATCGGAACACTACACATCTTTCGATACATCCCAAGGTTGCATTTGATCCTTTGGCAATTGCACTGGACTATGCTTAATCTGTGGTCTACCAGGATGCCTAGATTCTTCTAACAAATACTAGGGCCAAGCTACATACCATCAGTCTTGTACAGTGTGTGTGTGTGTGTGTATAAATGAGGTGATGAGAAAGTGACCACAGTTATCACTGCAATATTATACATAAGAAAGTGGAGAAGGAAATATATTGTAGGAAGTTAGCACCCATCCCTCTCCTAGAAGAATGAAATATTTTAGGGAATATTTAAAAGGCAGAATATATTTCTCTGGATGAGAAATGGAGAAACATGTTTTAAAAACAAAGCAGCTCCCACCTTCCTGGCTCCCACCATCTTTGTCAATGGGCTAGAGGCAGAAACCCACCCACCCCCTTTGTCAATGAACCATCATCTGCAACACAATAGGACCCACCTAGCAACAGAAACTCCCCACATGGCACCTTGGGAAATTACATTAGCCAGCAGGGCTAGCTATGACCTCTCACAGTGACCAATCAGGATACTCTTCCTGTGCCCCAGGAAGTTCAAAGCCAGAGAGGGTATAAAACTGAGGAATCTCAGCATCTTGCCCTTTTCTGCTCAGGAACTCAAACCATGTGATCCTGCCCACCATTAAACCATCTTTCCAAGCAGTCTCCATGTTTCCAATGTCTTTTTTCCCCAGTTGGAACTGAACCCAGAAGGATATTTCTTCCAACAATATTATGTTTTAATCAGATAGAGAAACTGTACTGTGGGTCTTTTGTGCTCTCTAAGTTTGGTTGTTTTCTTGCAGATGTCTTCAGATGTTTCATTTCCCAACTAGGTAACATCATCAGTTTATAGCAACTTTTCTTTCTTACACTCTCTTTCCCAGGCTGTGAATAAGTTAGCAAAAGTTATGAATCATAATAATCCAGTTGAACCAATCACTGACACAGATGTCAGAAGAAAATAAAAGAACAAGAAACTGCATAGTGAGTCAAAAACTGAACATGAAAAAGGCACTGATAACTAAATATGAGGAAGTGATTGATAAAATTAAGCTGTAAGTATCTTACATGATAGTACTCCATCATGGAAAAAGAGACTGTCTATATGAATGTTTCATGTATTCACAAACTTGGTTGACATTGCAATTCTTCAGCTTAATTTATCTTGAATTCTTGAAAACCATTAAAGATCTCTCCCCAATCTAGTATCCCTTCAGTAGCAGGATACCAGTGTCCATGAGGCAAAGAATGATGAGAAGTTTAATGTTTACACATCTGAGGAGGCATTGTCTCACCTTTCTAGTCTCCTATTTTTACTATACTACCCAAGGGAACTAAAATAGAAGATATTTAATTATCTTTTTCAATTCCCATGGTACTTAGTTTTTAGTGGTTTGAATTAAGAGATTACTGTTAGAACAACCTCTGCAAGCAAGCTTTTATAACACGTTAAAAATTAATTTTGATTGTGCTTTTACAGCAAATAGCAGAAGATAGCCAGAATCAAATCAAACTACAAATGATTCTGGAGAGTAGTTTAGAAGAGCTTTGCTCCCAGATCCAATCAATACCTGTTAGTGAAACAGAAATGAATGGTAATTTCCCTGTTAAGATTTGTCCTTCGGTTTTTGGAAGAAAAATAGACATGTTTCAATTGCTGACTTTTTACTTTAGCAAGTTACAATTGGGAATGTTATCTCTTCATCCTTCTGTCACTAGAATTTTAATCCTTTAGCAGCAAGCTATCTTTGAATACATCAAAAATAGATTATAGTTCTTATACAAATCCAGTTCTTTTGTATTATTCTATTGCAAAATAAACAGGTTAATACAGTTTTAATAAAATGTCACTTTCTTAATTTGATATAGCATTAAAACAAGGAAATATATATATAATACTGTTTTAAAATATTGAACAGTTTCCAGGCTTTACTAAAAACAACTCAGAGAAGAAATTTGATTGTGTAAAAAAGTAAACAATATAGTTTTCAAGACATTACTTTGAGGTGGTATGCAGCAAGTAATACCACTAGGTGCTATTCAAAAACAAAAGAAGCAATTCATTGTTTTTGCTATTGTGCTGCTTTGGAGAAATTACGGGTCTGGCTATTACTATTACTAAGAGCCCCTCTATGAAGGAGATGGGTGGTTAAGAAGTTTGATAAATAAAATAATAGCAAAAGAAGTTCAATGAGATAAGCCTACACAGTCATAGAAAGATGCTCTTTACCTTTGTTCATTGGCTTTCTTTTGCTTGGGTAAATTTTCTATGGAAAGTGTTAGGTGTAGGAACTTAGAAAATGTTCAAAAGCTGTGCAGCAAAAAAAGAGTGCACAACAGCTCTCTCTATCCAGATGTTTTGGATTTTAATACTGTATGTCCCAGCAAGGAGGTCAGTGACAAGGTAATATGCTAATTGTTGCCTAAAAGTTCTGCAAGTACCAGATTGCTTATTCTCCTCCCATTTTTTCTTTTATTTGTATATTTTACCATGTTATATTTTTGCTTTCTGTACTGGGTATGTTTCATATTATATTTTTTTCCTATGGAAGCTGTTGATCGTTGGTTTTTTAGACTGGCACAGAAATATGTTTAATGAACAAGTAGGGACTAACATATTTTATTTGAAGCTACCGGTTAAGATGAAATATCTTTTGTAGGAGGAGAAGCCATAGTCACATTTTGACTATGTATCCAGCAGGAAGCTACTTGGACCTTATTAAAATAACATTTTACGTACTTTTATTCTGTAAAAAAGGTATACAAAATTTAGTAATACATATATCAAATCAATTTTGAATGTATCATATACTGATGTTCATATTGTTTAACAATATATACCCTGTTTCCCCCAAAATAAGACTTCCCCTGATAATAAGCCCAATCGAACTTTTGAGCACAGGGCAGTAAGGCCAAGCATTTATTTCAGGGTTCAAAAAATATAAGACAGGGTTTTATTTTCGGGGAAACACGGTAGGTATCAGAAGTTAGAAGATATCATTTGATTGTAATGAACAAAATAAGGAACAATTCCACTCACATATGGTACTGGAAACAGACAATGTATTTTGATATATTTTTGTTTCATTCTGAATATGGTCAATTTTTGTGATTCTGAACACTGTAAACAAACTTCATCCTCAGTGATCCCCAAACCCTGATCCGTGGCCTGGTACCAGGTTGCAGCCCTTCTGGAACTGAGCTATGCAAGTGGCAGGCAAACGTTCAAAGCTCCATTTGTGCAAGTAGTGGATGGGTGGGCAGATGTGCAAAACCATCCCCTCTCCACCACTGCCACTGTTGCTGGTCCACAAAGCCAGAAAGTTTGGGGACCACTTTGTTTGAATGTTAAATTGTTAAAACAATAATGCAGAAAGAAAACAACACTGTATATTTATTTACTTTTATTTACTTACCTTTATTCAAGACACAGTTCTTGGATGATTTAAGATTTACAGTAATCTTGGCATTATATTTTTTATATGCCAAAATGTATAATATTTGCTGTGTTAAAACAATTAGTCTAAATTGTATGAATCCCTAATATTTCTTTGCAATTTTAAAACAGTCACTGATTTCAGCATGAGTAGGCTTCAGCAGCATATGATCAGATTTGCACGAACACAGTAGTAGTTTTCCTTTCCTGTTTTGGAGATTGGGGAAAAATCCATTATACTGACATATATTGTAAGTGGATCAAACCATACTTTAAGAAAGCTTTAAAAATAAAAATTTATATAAGAGCATTATATAAGAATTCTTATTTAAAGTCAAGATGAGATCTACTGAATTAAAAGGGAAAATGTCCGGAAATGCTGCTAGATTACAGATTCATGTTTGAGTGTTCCATGGTTATCTTACATTTTTATTAGATATCTGCATTGTTGCTTCTACAGCGAACTCCTGCATGTTTGAGATGAGACACAAACTGATGTGTACAGGCAGATTCTAAGAATATTCCCAGAACTTCCCAGGTTTATCTATTCAAAAACTTTTAACCAAATATAACATAGACAAAGATGAGATGCAATGTTTATTGGACAAACATGAAATAATAATTATGGTGCCTTAATCACTAGAGCAAATTGGCTCTCACTATCCTGGCTTTTTAAAACATCTTTTTTGAATTGTTAAGGAAAAAATGGAGCACATTGGCATTTTTGCAACAGGTTTTGCAATATCTTTTCCCCAATAATGGTAACTATGGCTGAGCTTACTGGAGTGGAGATGAGTGGACACATGCTGTACAGGAACAGGACATGGATGATCTGGGAGGGGAGAGTATGTGAGAAAGAACATTTGCCATGAATCCAGGAGGTAGATGAGGCAAGTATTCCCACTGGTGGAAAAACAAACCACCCACAAGATTTGTCAAGCCATAGAACTGAGAAGGAAAAAAGCTTTACATCCAAGAAAGCAGCAGCAGAGAGCAAAAACACAACATGTGAAACTTCTCTATGGCAGTTTTCATTCTGTTTTTACTCCCAATCCTTCACACACTAATACAAAGCTGACTTTTGATTACCTTCATTTCTATCAGTTCTGTTCTGTCAGCTTCAAACAGCCAAGAACAGGCAGGGAATAATACACAAAATTACCTCTTCAACTGATGAAAAGGTTTTTTTTTTTTATGGAACTCAAAATAGTATATGTCCTCAAGAGTTGCTATAGCTCCTGGAGTCCTAACATTCTCCTGCTTCCAATTCTGCACAAAACAAAACAAAACAAAACAAAAAGATATAGTTAGAAAAATGAGATAAGGAGAATTTAAAGATCAAAAGCTTCAGTGAACATAGTTGTAAATATAAGCAACCCTGGAGCAAGAATGAGAGTTTGGTATAATGGTTAAGGCATCAGACTAGAAAACCGGAGACTGATTTTAGTCCCACTTTAGCTAGCTGTGTGATCTTGGACCAGTCATACTCAGCCCTAGGAAACAGGCAAGAGCAGAATGCAATCTTGCCAAGAAACTGCAGACTAGTCACACAGTCGCCAGATGTCAATACACACTGGGCTTAAAAATCTCAGAAAATGTAACAAATCAGATTTCTGAGAACACTAGGTTTTAGATACTCATCTTTGGAAGAAATGGGACAGGGAGCCAAAGACTGTTAAAGAACTCCCAACTGGCTGCCCAGATAGAAAGCCGAAAAAAGTTATTTCAGCCAATATCCTAGTTAATGTAATTCTTCTAAACGGATCTTTTCTGGAACACCACTCACTTGTATTACAACTCAGCATGATGTGAAAAAGTCCAAGAAAAGAAGAAAATCCTCATATGGACTAATCCTCTTCTATTTTATCAACATTTAAAAAATACTTTCATATGGAAAGGAATGGGCAACATGAGTAGCTCTGAAGTAGTTCCTACATTTTATTGTACTGCCCTCCCTTCAATTTTTTGGTGTCTCTATAAAGAATTATTTGACTTGCATTGATGTCATAGTGAACTTTGTTAATTAGGAATGTCATGGCTTTTTCTTTTGCCAGTGAGACTATCTAGGCAACCTGGGGGCACTTTCCTTGAAGATTTTCAAAGAAAAGAATTGAGTTCAATATTTTAGAGAGTTTGCACAGTTTCACATATATTAAACATTGCTGATTTCCCCTTGTTGCAATTCCCAGCACTCATCAAAATATGCTCTAGAGGATAGGGTGTAATATATTGGAACAATACTTGAAATAGTTACAGGACAAAGAGAAATATTCATAAAATGCTCTTTATTTCCACAGAAAACTTCAGCAAATAAAAAAATCCAGCACTAAAGAGAGGATACCATCCAATGTCATTCTTAACATAAACATTAGATTCTACCATGCTATGTAGCGTATCTCATGTATTTTCAGTTTTGGGTGAGTTCATCAGCATTTTCTCATGTGATGTTTAAAGTCTTTAAGTTGTCTTTCATCTTTGTCATTATCATTTTTAAAAAAGGATTGACTAACAGTCTCTTATAGAATTCACAGCAGAAATTACTTTTTTTTAAAAAAAATTGATTTATATGCCACCCTTCTCCGGAGACTCAGGGCGGCTTTTCAGTTTAGAGGCCTGGTTGGTTCTTATCCTATATTCCTATCAATGTTTATTCAAAATTCTCACTGAACTTAGCATATGCTGTGCTACACTTGGGCATCATGATTAGAATAAAGGTATTCATCCCACATTCTGCAATCATTTCTAAAGTAGCCATTTATTTATTTATTTATTTATTTTTAATTTGATTTATATGCCGCCCTTCTCCGGAGACTCAGGGCGGCTTACAATGCGTTAAGCAATTTACGTAGTCATCTAGCCATTATTTATTTTTATTTATTTATTTATTGTATTTGTATACTGCCCTACTCCCGAAGGACTCAGGGTGGTGAACAGCCACAGAATAAAACACATAAATACAAAATTTAAAAACAGAATAAAACCAAATTAAAACAATTTGGCCGAAACAAATTAAAAACACCCAATAATTTTAAAAACAAATTAAAATTTACATTTTAAAGGGGAAAGATTTAGGCCAGGCCGGCTTGACAGAATAAAAAAGTCTTGAGAGCGTGACGGAAGGTGCGCAGATCCGGGATCCTCCGTATCTCCAGGGGGAGCTCATTCTAGATAGTAGGTGCCCCCACAGAGAAGGCTCTCCCCCTGGGGGCCGCCAGTCGACATTGTTTGGCTGACGGCACCTGGAGGAGCCCCTCTCTATGAGAGCGTACCAGTCGGTGGGAGGCTATTGGTGGTAGCAGGCAGTCCTGTAAATAACCAGGTACTAAGCCATGGAGCGCTCTAAAGGTGATAACCAAAACCTTGAAGCGCACCCGGAAGACCACTGGGAGCCAGTGCAGCTCGCGCAGGAGAGGTGTTACATGGGAACCCCACGTCGCTCCCATAACCACCCGTGCGGCCGCACTCTGCGCCAGTTGGAGCCTCTGAGTGCTCCTCAAGGGGAGCCCCATGTAGAGAGCGTTGCAATAGTCCAGGCGAGAGGTGACGAGGGCATGAGTGACTGAGGGTAAGGAGTCCCGATCTAGAAAGGGACGCAACTGGCGAATCAGGCGAACCTGATGAAAAATCCTCCCGGTCACAGCTGTCAAATGCTCTTCTAAAGATAGCCGTGAATCCAGGAGGACACCCAAGTTGTGAGCCCTCTCCATGGGGGCCAGTGATTCGCCCCCAATAATCAGTGATGGTGCCAACTGACTATATCGGGACGTCGGAAACCACAGCCACTCGGTCTTGGATGGGTTGAGCCTGAGCTTGTTTCTCCCCATCCAGATCCGCACGGCCTCCAGGCACCGGGACATCACTTCAAGGGCATCGTTGGGGTGGTCCGGGGTGGAGATGTATAGCTGAGTGTTGTCAGCGTACTGGTGGTACTTCACCCCGAAACCACGGATGATCTCACCCAGTGGCTTTATATAAATGTTGAACAAAAGGGACAATTGATCTCTTCCAAGGACAGGCAGTTGGAAGGAATGGGTGATCTATAAATGAACACCTTTCTGACTATTGCATAACTCTTAAAGAGATAAAGGCCTAAGAAAGAATATTTTACAAAACAACCGTTCTGCTTCTTTTCCATTACAATTGTCAAAGAGAAGGTTTTTGACTACTGAAAAATCAAAAGAATAAACACTTCTAGTTAATCTCCCATTATGTATTTTTTGTTGCAGAGACTGAATCCTTCCAATGAATGAAAAGTTACATGTTTTACAGTCTTTTACTGCCACCTTATGTGATTTCTTGCCACTGCACATCAAACAGAGGTTATAATACTACCATTTCCCCATACTAATGAATAGCTTCAGCATAGATGGTTGCAGTGACAGATAAAAGAACATATCATGTAGAAGATGGAGCTATCATTCAATAGTTGCACCTTTTCTCAACCCTATGGCAAAATGCCATTGTATCTCTTCCTCTCTTCTCCATGTCTGTTAAAAATGCAGGAACATTGCCTGCTTTCATATAATATCTTCGGACATAGTTTTACAATAAAAATTGTTTAAGTACCACATCCAGCACCCAGCATCTGGGCTCTCAGAGAATGTTCCATAATCCTGGGAAATGGTGTAAGGGCTAGATTTTTCCCTCCCTGAATAATTATTTAAAATAAACTCTGAACACAGTGGCCTAATGTTCCATATTGGGGATCTTCTGGTAACCCTAGCCTGTAAAGAGAGCTGAGAATACTGTTTTAGGCCCCCAGTTGCCCCTGGTAAAAATCAGTGTGGAATTGAGAGTATGATGTGTTTGCGGGGGGGGGGGGGGGGTGGATAAACTGGCTGACGGACTAGGAATTGCTGGATTCCAAAGCAGAAGCAATACAAAGAGCCAGATCACCTAGCTGTTCGGTATGTTTGTCCTTTTGATATTGGATGGAGTTCTTTCTTACAGAATAAGAATTAGAATTGATAAGGATCTGATGGCCAGAGAGGATTGATTTGTTAGGTGGCATTAGAATAGAGAATAATGTCATGGTAATGGGTGGTGAGAATCTGGTGGCAGATAGGGGGCACGTCAGTCTAGCAGAAGATATGAACTTCTATGAACTTACGGACTTCTAAATTTATTTATTAAACAAATTTATATAGCCACAAAACTCACACATACTTATGAAGGTATGAACTTCTATGAAACTGGCTTTTTATATCAATTCTATATTGCAATCCTTTGGACCGTATCCGTATCCCAATATCTAGTCATTAGTAATTCTGTTACCCTGGCCTCCAACTGCTACCTGAATGAGAAACGTTGCTTTAAAGTTTAAACTCTTATTTCAGCCCTTCCTTAACTGTGAAGCCTTGGTGACAATGACTTGGATCTTTATCATCATTTTAGACTATTGTGTGATAAGTGGAGCTGCCTTTAATGGATAATTTGGCATCTACAATTGGCATAAGAAGCAGCAGCCAGACTTCTGAAAGGGGAAAGCCACTACTGCTATAATATGTTACTTTGGCTGCTTTAGTAGTTATCAATAGGCTTCTATTTGTAGTAGCTTTAATCTAAAAAGCCCTGCACAGTTCAATTTCATCCAAAACTATCTGCTTCAGATGGATTCTGCCCATCTTGTAGCATCAGTTATAAAAGGGTTTACTTCAGGCTTCCAGTGCCTCAAGAGATGAGGGGGATGTAGACTGAAAAGCAGTTTTCTTATAGAGGACTTACTAGTCTGGTACATCTTGCCACCAGGAATGCATTTGACCCTTTGGAAGGCAGGAAAGACCATTTCGTTTTGAAACTTATGATGGTGATGGTGGACTACCTTTAGTTGGGATTTTATTTTATGAGCTGGAGATAGTGAGTCGTTTGAGGTTATGTCATTATTCAAAAAAATAGTCTTTATTCAACCTTTTTTAGTTTTAAAAACACATTTCCATTTTTAGAGCTTTCAATTATCGGTATCAATTCAAATTTCATAATTCCAATTTATGGCCTATTATTCTATACATTATGTACACCTTTAAATACTTAATATCTTTTACTATATTCTACACTTGTTCTTCTTTAACTTCAATTTAGTATATTCTTCATATATGTAATATATATATATATGTACTTACATATTCCTTTTACCCTTTAGCATGTTTTATCACATTCATAAACAATTTTCAGTTTAACATACTTTCTATATAGTCTTTATGCATTAATTTTACTTCTAGTTTCTAGCCAGTAATACCACATACTCCAACTTTCGTAATACTCTGTTTCCCTGAAAATAAGACCCTGTCATATTTTTTTGAACCCAGAGATAAGCGCTTGGCCTTATTTTTGGGGAGGTCTTATTATTTTGGAGCGTATGGAACGATATGGGGCTCCTCTTGCTGTCTTACCTGATTTCCAGTTCTGCATTTAAATATTTTTGTGGAGGGGTTATTTTTGGGGGAGGCTTATTTTAGCGCATGCACTCAAAAGCTCGATTGGGCTTATTATCAGGGGATGTCTTATTTTTGGGGAAACAGGGTATAATATATTGAGTCTTTTTACTTATATTTCCTTTTCTAATACCCATGTTATGTCATTTTATTGGACTTCCTAAGTAGGTTTTTTTTAAAAAAATAAAATCCAGAATCTTGGGGAAGGGAGGTGTAATGCTAAATAAATAATAAACTTGCTCTTCTTGCATCCCTTCGGCTCTCCAGATATTGACGGATTGCTCTTTTATTTCAGTAACCTTTATCGTTGGAGAGTTCCTATTCATGATGCTAGAGAATGAAATAAATTGAAGAGTTGGGAAGGAGGGAGGGAACCACTGAAGGACCCGGGATGTCTGGCTGCTTCTAAAATTTGCCAGAACTCGACTGAGAATTTAGCCTGATATGTTTCCCAGCTGCATGAGACTCCGCGGTGGTTTCGAAGCCTCCGGCCGACCCCATAGGAAATCCAGTCATTCCCCCTCCTCTCGTCTCCGTCTCCCCCCCAGTTCCCGGGACAGCTCCCGCGGTGTCTAGCGAGGCCGCGACCTGTAGGAGGAGACTTGCGCGGCCCTTTCTTTCTCCACCTCCGGCTCTCGCCATTGTTCCCGCCCCCTCGCCGACTCTTTCGGGCCTCTGTTCGCTGTGGCCGCCGCGGCGCCGCTCGCCGTCTCCATCCCGGCCTTTTCTGCCGCAGCTGCAGCCTCCTCCTCCTCCTCCATCTCGAGCTCGTTTTGCTCGGCTCGCCGTTGATCAGTTCCCGAAGGGGAGATCCCAGGCCTCCGACCGCCATGTCCCGCTATACGCGGCCTCCCAACACCTCGCTCTTCGTCAGGAACGTGGCGGACGCCACTAGGTGAGGAGACGGTGGAGGGAGGCGGCCTGGAGTCATAAGGGAGCGGCTGCGGGAGGGCGGTGGGCCTTTTCGGAAGAGCGGGGCCCGTCGCTTCTCTATTTTGGGAGCAGGGCGGCGGGGCAACAACGTGGGCTCGGCCGGAGCGTGACGAGCGGCCCGGGTTAGGGGGGAAGAAAGCGTCACCATTTTCGAAGAGGTTCTGTTTTTAATTCCCCACCGACGTCTGTGCATTTAATACCTGCACCGAATATTAAACCTACTGGGCGAAGCTTTGCTTCTCAAGGCCTCTGGGGCCTATCCCAAGGAGAACGTTGTTCATTTCCTTGCTATTTTTTTTCCCCAAAATGTTATTTATTGGGTGTTTTTTAAAAAAAAAACCCACCATAGAACGCACAATGGAAAAAGCACGAGGGGGAAAAATAAATAAAAGCCTCGCCATAAGATTAAGAAGTAAGCAGGATTTCTTCTCTCCCTTCCCCCTCCAGTGTCAAGCCTCCCCCACGCCTTGCTTTAAGGGGACAACGAATTAATTCCTATGAGGAAAACTTAACTTGCTTTTGTATCACCATAGCAGTATGTTTCTCTGGGGGAATGTAGCTGCATGCCCCAACACGTTGGTCCCAAGATTTGGGAAGACCTTCACTGATTTTTGTTATCTTTCCAGTGTGCTTTGGGTGAAATATAAGCTTAAAATCAGACCAAGGATATAATTCGGTGGATTCAATCTCACCTTCCTTTTCTTTTGATATTATTACCTCCAGGCCTGAGGTTTAATTGAAAGTCATATAACTTAATGATGCAAATGGGAATTAGTCTTCTGTAATTTTTTTTTTTAAATAAAAGGTAGGTACTGTAAATTTTGAGATGTGCAGATTATAATTTGGAAGTGGATTGTAGTTGCTGAAATTGTCTCCTGTCTATGAAGAGGCAAAAACTTTGCATCCAGTTGTTGGTATAGGTTTCAGTTTTTGGTATGTTTTAAAAATAACTTGTCTTATGTTAAATGATAAGCTGTTTGCCCTCATCTTAACTTCAAGTAGATATAAAGTGTCTACTGTGTTTCATCAGTATCATATAGATTAATTTTCAATTTTAACTGATTTAAGTACAGTTCCCTGATTAAATTAACATTTAATCATTTCTAATATATATGGTAAAGATGCTCCCAAATTGAGTTTGGCTCCTGGTAATTGCATCCATGCAATTTTTTCGGCAGTATTGTCAAAATTGCCTTGTTTCTCTGTATGTGTGTGTGTGTGTGTGTGAGAGAGAGAGAGAGAGTTGAGTCATTTATTCCCCATTCTAATCATCAATCCAGAGATTTCCAAATTGTTCTTCACTTAAATATAATCAGGGCTGATCCTGTTTACCTCTATCATTTCAAAAATGAATATAGTAAACCTATTGAAACATTTTTTCTTTCACATAGGAGATCTTTATCTAAAAGTTTTTAATTATCCTGTCTTCCTGGGACCTAAAAAGAACAGAACGCATGTCTTGGGCAATCTTGCATAATATATGTTTAATACTTTGCAAGATGGTGACAAGGCAGCCTATCTTGCTGCTGCTTCTGAAAGCCTCTTGAATTCATATAATATTTTCCTGAGCGCACACTGCTACTGTGGCTCTTTTCAGGAGTTATAAAGAAATACAGAGTGTACTCACTTCTAATTTGAAACACTTTTATTCAAATCTAAATACTGCACACATCTGACTATAAATTATAAAGCAATACTTTGTGAATGGAACTAAAATGTGTTTGTATAGTTCTTTCCCCTATTGAACTACTTCCCTTCTATCTTTCGTTAACAGGAAACTACATCCCTATAAAATCTGCTGTTATCATTGCTAAACCATATCCTGTCTTTATAATTTCTGTTTCAACTCCTTATAGTTCCCTGATCCCCAAGGTAATGAGTGATAAAACTGGCCATGATGATATCAGAGCAGGAGGGAAACATTCCTTTAGTGTTACAACCAAGTGCATCTTAAGTTTATCTCACTCATGGATGAGGGCAACATCAGGAGATCTGATAAAATAAAGATGCTTCCAGGCCATGTTTGTGTTATAGTTTAGGTACCAATAGAGAAAGGGCCTTTGCCATTTATTTGGGAATAGGAAACTTCTCTGACAATTTCACTGAATTTATTTTCATTGTAAGGGATCCATAAATTATAGGTTGTTTACATACAAACAAAATGATGCTGTGGAAACTCCCACTGATGGAAAAAGCAAGGATGTTGTTAGTGAGTTATTTTACCTGCTGTTGATCTAGCAGCTTTCTTTCTGCAGCAAGGAAAGGGTGGAATGAGAAAGCACAAGGACAGTGAATATGATCACTTTCATTACTGTATTATATCCCATTTCTATCAGAATATTCAATGAGGAGAGATACTGTCACAGGAATTTAGGATGAAAGGCATCATATTCTGCATTTATATTGGGGTTTCTGCAATTCCTCTTTCATTTAATGGGAATTTCAGAATTAAACTACCTGTTTCTTTAAAGATGAAATAAGCAATTAATGATTTTCTTTTTGTTCAATAAAAATTTGGGGAGAATTCAATTTAGCTTACAGCTGTACAGTGGGGAAATACTATTATTGTTTTACATCACAATGCAATTGCAATGTAGATTGGCCCTTTTGCACCAGCAAAAGGTACATAATCAAGAAATGCTCTATTGAAACAAACATATTAATTTTGTGCAAGGCAAATTGATTAGGATCATGTCTGTTAAACATTTAAAATTTGCTTGCTAAGATTCTAATATGGATCTGTACCACCGTTCTTTTCACACACCCTCCCATGTAGCTTGCTAATTACGTTTTTGAAATATGTACTTTGATACTCGGATACTCCATCTTTATTTATTGGTTCTTATACTTAAACAACAAGCAATGAATCAAACAACTGTTTATGCACTAACTATACATATAGCAGAATGAGACTCATGTAAATTGGGATCAGTTTGTTTAAATCCAGGCTTCTAGGGATTTCCTTCAGTTTTTAGAGATAGCATTTTTATTTTATTTTTTGAATGCAAAGGCTTTGTTCCAACCAGAGTAGAATTTCTTTTAATTTTTGTTAGAGAAGTGAGACAATTCCCTTGTTTATAATATGATTTTTGTTTATTTGCAATGAGTAGCTGATTCATTATCTATGATAAGTGTCCAATAAGTTTCTTTTTAGGTAATGAATAAATGATTATTATGTCCAACCTATCAGAAATTTGTATAAATACCTAGTTATTTAGCCCATGATTCCATTTGTACAACACAGATTTTGTGGATATTGAATTAATCATTTTCTGAGTTCATATTACGTTTATTGGATTTAATCAAATAGGTTAGGTCAACTCTGACCCCTCCTGCACCAAGACTCAAAAAATAACAATTAAAGTTCACACATTGTGCAGATTTTTTTATATGTGTTATATCCTGCCCTTTTCTCCAGGATCTCAAAGTAGCACATCCATTCATACATTCAGCATTCTCTGTACAGCATTCTCTGTTTCAATTTTTGAATGTCTGTTAGATTGAGCTGGATAACTAGATTCTGAGGTGAGATGCTAAGGTGAAAGTGGAAATTTAACCTGGTTTTCCCCAGTGCTAATCTAACATCTTAATATTTGTCCTCTACTGCAGCTACTATGTTTATAACTAACCTACTTAAGGTTATATTATACAATACATAGTATAATGTATTGTAGAAATGCAGTTCTTAATTACTAATTAGTATAGGTCCTTCAGTAAATGTGATGATTCTCTGATCCCCATTTATTCAGTTCTCTGTAGTGCATGATCACTTTTATGAGTTCTTGTAACCCTTTTCAAACTCATCACTACATCACATTTTTACTGTGTAAAGACATTTTCATTTTCTCTTTCCTGAATCAGTTTAATTGTAGACTTCATATTCAGCTACCACTATATTTGTGAAAGAAGAAGGTGTGCTTTTATTTTTCCATAGTGTTCTCATCTTCATAGGTCCTGGTATTCACAAGGCTAAATTGTACTCTTTCTTTAGATTTGAAAAGAGAGCAGTGTATAAATAGCAGTTTCAGGAAGGAAAAAAAACTTTGAGATGTTTTTCTTGTTCTTGTTTATGGCCGTTTTGTCATGCATTTAGTTGCCTGAATTGTTTTACTGTTCAAATAATAAACACAAATAAAAATTGTCCATTACTAGAAAAATAAAGTTTGAGGGAGGCTTTAAAGGTTCCTGTCTGTTTTTGCTTAATATAATAGTCATATATTTGAAAGTACTCAATATTTGCCAGTTTTGATTTCCCCAAGTAACCAAAGTAGTGGTTAAAGTTTGAATTAATACCACAAGAAATATTAGGATTATACAAAGTATTTCTTTAATATTTTTAAATATAGAAAACATTTCATGGGTACCAGGTGCCATTATAGAGATACACTCATGTTTTTTTGCCTTATTTCTAAAACACTTCAGGCCTGAGGATTTGCGCCGTGAATTTGGTCGATATGGCCCTGTAGTAGACGTATACATTCCGCTTGACTTCTACACAAGACGCCCACGAGGATTTGCTTATATACAATATCCTTTATTTCATTGTATTGTTATTGCGGTGCATTGTTGTTATTGCATCCTAACTTAATGTATTTATTTCTTTGTCTCAGAAAATGTAAAGCAGTCCACAGTGGCTGGCAAGCACCCCAAAGTTTGAATGAACCCGGTTAGATAGAGTCCAAGCAGGCAAGCCAAAAGACACCTTAAAGTTCAAGCTTCAAGGAATAAAGAGGGAGGGTGGAAAAAGATAAAAAGAAAACTGGAAGAGGGAAAGTCCTTTTTCAAGGAAAAAGACAAAGCCACAACACCAAGTTAAGGCTTCGGCTTTCCGACATTTGCACGAGTTCCAAAGTCAAAGCCAAGTCTGATTTGGTTGGTTCTACGGCCCTTGTCAAGTCCATCTAGCAAGCCCAAAAGAGTAACGGTCAAGATCAAGTGACATGGAGGTAACTGACAAAGTTTCCTTTTGTATCTTATCGCTCAAACTCTTACATTTCAAGTCAAGAATTTGTTTGTTTATAACTGTTCTAGTTTTAAATACTGTTTTCTTAAATTAATACAAAATAATTGTATACGAATATTTGTTGGTTTTTTCTATTAATTTATTCCCTAACAAAATAGATATAAGTGCAATAGTGCTTGTTTTGATTATCTAGCACAATTTCTATATCATCAAAATTTATTTGTTGTAAAAGAATTAAAAAAACAGCAAAACGAAAAGAAAGTCAGATGATTATGAAAATAAGTGGCAGAATATTGAACTATATTTTCAAATTTTAAACTCTAGTTATCCATTAGATGCCAATGAAGACCCTTATTGCAAGGTGCATACCGTAACTATATTTGCACCCATTCAAAGATGTACTAGAGATATAAGGGCTCAATTATACAGAGAATTCCTTCCTGTCAGGACTTTTGGCATTCGTATAAAAGAAGAAGCAGATTTGTTACACAAAGATATGCCATTGAAATGAAATGAAGTTAGCCTGTGCAGAAATTTTGTATTTGTTTCAGTGCTCAAAGAATTTTGGATTTATAATGCATTCAGTCTTCTCTATTTTGTTTGTGACATTGAGATGCTTCATATTTTGCAGTACACCAGATATACTTGTCTTCCATTGCTGCTTTTGACTAGTTTCAGATGTTGATTTATTGCATTTGTTTACTTTTGGCCAATGTTATGTAAATCCATCCAGTATGATTCAGCAAGCCATGATTAAAACAATTATGTCTATAATGTGTGAATATAGACAAAGTGTGAAGGGAGATTTACATTTCCAAACACAGCTGACCAGGATTTTGAAGTCCCACATAAAATACCCACCAACCTTGTAATAGATAATACTTGCAAATAAAATCTATGTACTAATTTTTGCATGCCTGTGCAAAATTGGAATGATTATATGATAAGGTAATGATACCTTCTATTCTGGGACCTTGGTAGTGATAGAATGCAAAGCCAGTAGTGTTTTGAAACATTTAGTAAACACCTTAAAGTGAATTGTGGCCATTGGTCCTTTTTCATGAATGGGGATGTGATCTTCCTTTCACACTTTACATATTTCTTAGCATATACCTTGATGAAATGTTGTTATAATTAAGAGACCACATAGAATATGTAACAGTTTAGTTTTATGTAAAATATAAAAATAAGATCATTTATTTTAAAAACATTTGAGTGTGTGGTCTATGCTATATGATACATTTTTTTGCTTTGTGCATGTTTAAAGTGTCCTTAACAGACAGTCATGTTTGAAGATGTTCGTGATGCAGAAGATGCTCTTTATAACCTCAATAGAAAGTGGGTATGTGGCCGGCAAATTGAAATACAGTTTGCACAAGGGGATCGCAAAAGTAAGTGAAAATAAACACATCACTTACTTATTCTGCAAATATTTATTTAAGAAAGTAGATTTTCATATTGCTTAGAATTATACAAGCACAAAAATCATGACACTCACAATGTAGAGGGACAGTTTATTAAAATGTAAAAGTAATAGCATGCTATCAATGTAAGATGATTCTGTTTTTTTGCATTTGCCCAGTTTTGTTTTAATTTCCAGCCCCAGGTCAGATGAAGTCAAAAGAACGTCGCCAGTGTTCTCCAATGGATTACAGAAGATCAAGAAGCCGTAGCCGAAGGAGGACACGTAGCCGAAGTTCATCATGGGGCTGGAGTAGAAGACACTCTGACAGCTTTAAAGAGTAAGTTACCGTATTTTTCGGAGTATAAGACACACTTTTTTCCCTCCTAAAAGAGGGTGGAAATGTTGGTGCGTCTTATACACCGAATACAGCCATTTTTGGCCTCTCACAGCCCCACCCCACTCGTCCCATTTTTGCGAAAAATGGACCCGTTTTTTGCAAAAACAGGGTGTGCAGAGGGTTTGGGAGGCTTGCAGAGAGCTTCTGGGGGCCAGGGAGGGCAAAACCCTTTTTTTTCTTACTTACCTCTTCGAAATCTTGGTGTGTTTTATACACTGGTGCGTTTTATAATCTGAAAAATACAGTAGTTTAAATATCAACCAGTGTAAAAAAATGCTACTTCATAAAGTGGGGCATGATTCAATTGTATAAACTGCTTCAAGAGAATATAATAGCAAAGATGGTAACCAATGAGGGAAAGGAAATGCTGTTCAAAGTTATTTTGGAGTAGAATGGCATAGAAACCACGTAAAAGAATGAATAATGACATCTGTTATATGTATAGGTTTAGTAAATCTGTCTCCTTAAAAAATAATTTGAACACTAGGAGTAGAGATTAGAGTTGATCCACAATGTAGAGTTATCTATAAATGCTTATATTTTATAACTTTGAAGCATTGAGTTATTTTTGCTTTGCATGCTGTCTCTTAGTGGTTGTATTCTTGTTGCTGTTGCAAGGTACAAAATGTACACACAAGATATACAAAATACAATTTGGAATGTGTTTGGTTTCAGCAGAAGGCTAAACAATTTAGAGATGTTGTCTAAGGAAGATCCATCCACATTCACTTTCTGGGATTGTTTTAAATCCTTTTAAAAATGTCCACAGTAGTTTCCTTACTTTCAAAAAACAGCTGGGGACTTTGGGTATAAAGTCTGCCTAGAACGCACAATAAAGGAAACTTAGACAAATAAACTACAGTAGTTGTTTGGATCAAGCAGAGATCTAATACTGTGGATGATTTGCAGGTCAAGACGTAGACGGCATTCTTATAGTCAATCTAAGTCTCGCTCAAAATCTCTTCCAAGGCATTCCAGCTCACCAAGACGATCAATCACACCTCAAAGAAATTCTACCTCTCGAGGAAGATCGCGGTCAAAATCAATGCAGCGGTGTTCAAAATATGCAGAGAAATCGCCATCCAGCTCCCACCGAAGACGCTCTACTTCAAGGACAAAGTCACGCTCACATCCAAAGCGCTCAGGTTCAGTTACCAGATCACTATCTAAATCTCCACGGAAACATGCCAACTCCAGTTCTCGCTCTAGAAGTTTCTATCAGAGAAATAGTAACCAGTCAGTATCTGAAGAAGATTAATGTGTTTTTCTAAGAGTTTTTTATGAGCACAAATTAAGAACAAAATTTGTCCAAATGTACCTGAAATGTAAGATAATTGATTAATGAGAGGTCTTGCTATGTTCTCTTGGTCCATATTTCAATAAGCAGAACTCTTTAAAATTTGCTAGCATTAAATAAACATTTATTTAGCCTAGATTAGTTTCTTTTAACTTAGAGGCCAATACAATTTGAACCTAGTTTGACTCTATTGGGTATAAGCTAGCATTATGCTCTGCTCTTACATCAAGTTTTCTTTTTTGGACAGAATTGTCTTTGGACCTTTCTTCCAAACCTTTGGAACAGCAAGAAATTTATGCTACTGTAATTTTGTACTGGCTTAAAGGTGCACACAGGTCTGTCTGGTGCTTTGTAGTGGAGTTGGAAGGGAAAGCCTTTCTCTATCCATTTCTACTTACTTTAGTATGTATTGCAGTACAGTTGTGTCAGTCTGCCAGAAATGTGGAGATGCTGATGGATCAGATTTTCCATTCCACCTATGCAACTCATCCCCCTCCCCCTGAAATTTCCAAGCAAGATTTAAGAGGAAGATGAGCATGCAGAAGTGAGTAAAAATCAAAGTAAAATTACATGTAATTCAATGCTTGAATGGCAAATCTGTCCTTGGGATAGGATTAAGTGTTCCAATAATTTGGTTTTTTACATTGTTTATGTTAATAATTTTGCTGCTGTTGCTGTTATTTTAATTGGCACTATTTGGTGCCTTTTTGGTGATACCAAGATTTTATTTGAGGACAACCATTCATGTATATTCTTAAAACAAGTATGTTTTAAGAAACAAAAACTGATAGGAAGGCACTGCAACTCAAGTTGTAAAGTTTCTTTAAATTAAAGCTTGTCTATGTTTCTCTAAAGCATGTTAACAGTGTAAATGGGGATACTTGTATAACATGGAGATACATGTATGACATAAGGTAGTAGAAGTCTAGCATTTGTCTTTCTTAATTTCATATTTAAAACTGATTAGATCTGGCAATTTCACTTCACACTTCTATTTGAACAGCAAGTAATGCTCTGGAATTTTCTGGAACTAAAATTATGAATTTACGTGAATGCGTTGTAACATTGAATTACATTAGATCTCACTTCTGTTGCCAAATGGAGGTGAATTTCAGGAAATCATTATTTTCCCTTAAATCATAAAATATGGTTGAATATTGGATTTCTAGATGGAATGTGGCATGTGAAAGGGTGTACAAGGACACCAGTGCAAATGAAGTGCTAGACCTTTGATCAATAATAAAATAATTTGCCTGCAAATAGAAAAAAAGCTTGGCAGTTAAATGCTAAGTCTAGATTTTTTATTCCTGGATGGGCTGTCTCTGCTGCAAAGAGCTTAAAACAAAACATACATTTCATAATGTAATTTCCATTTGCAGACTGAACTGGTACAGTTCATTTTCTCATTACATACTGCTATTTAGTAGAAACAGCTTTTGCTCTTGTGCAGCAATCTTTTGCTCTGCAACATGAATAATGATCACATGATTAATTTGATTGAAATTAGTGCTTATGGAAAACAGATTAGTTAAACAGGTTTTTAAAAAGGAAATAATTAGAAATATAAGATAATTTGGGGTTATTGTAATATAAATTGTTAAGCACATGATTTTCATGTGTGGTTAAATGTTTTTGTGAAACTCTTAACGTTTGTTGTGTAAAATTTATCACATCTATATTTTCAAAATATCATTGTAGTAGGTGATCAGTATAGATGACACCAACAAGCATTTTAAATTCTAAGCCTGTAATATGATTTAACAGTTAAGCGACTCAGTATAAAGTCATTATTAGCGTGTTTAACTCAAGTAACAGAGGGTATTCTAAAAACAATTTTGTATTTTACAATATATGACACTGCATTGTGTAGTAATGTTTGGAAACTTACTATTTGTTTTTTAAATGTATGGTAACTGTGATGTCTGTTACATGGTACAAGCACTGCATTGTATTAAAATAATTGTAGTGGCAGTAAAACTACATTTCATGAGCAAGTGTTGGGAGTATCATTGTTATTTCATAACTTAAGATGTTTCAATAAAATACATGCAGTTTTCATCTTTGCTTCTTTAAAAATGTGTTTGCTTTCAGAACTTTGTAAATTGCAATAGAATCAGACTGACTTTTCTTTTGTATTGCAGGAACCATAACCAACACAGTTCTTATGGTCTCAGGTTGCTTGAAAAGACTGGTGCCATATAGGGGAAATTCTGCAGTGTTCTTCCTATTGTGAGTGTTAGCTTTTGAAGATTAATGCTGTCATGAAGAGCAATTACATTAGAGACATTCCCCCAAGCTTTTTTGCATTGTCAGGAATGTTACAACCATTTCCTTTCTACATCTGCCTCTCCAAGATGATGCATGGATGGAATGGAAATAACTGTTATTTTATTTCAGAACTCAGCAGTCTGATACAGCAGACATGCACTTAGAATTAACTGAGTTCACAATCCTTATATGTGAACATAACCTCTGATTATCCCAGAGTTTCTTTATTTCAGCAGCATAATTTGGATTGGGAGTTATTTTGTTGCTGCTTGTTAAACAGGTGTAACATTAAAAGTATGACCTGCTAATTGGCAAACCAGAAGTCTGATAGCTTACTTGCTCCATCTATTCTCGGTCAAGTTTGGTCGCTGAGATAGCATGAACTTGTATGTGCCTATTCTGAAGTAATCCTCAGTAATGTTATTGAGGGTCATGATCATTTATAGCTAAATCAGAATGACATGCTGCTAAATCCAATTAAACCACTGTGTGATTTGGTATGTACATATATACCACCCTCTTGGCTTTGTAAGATAGGAAGCACTCCCAGATAAACCAATTCTACTTTATTACATAATCTTTCAAGCCTGAAAGTACATTTCTCTTGGTTGCTTTTACAGCCCCAGAAATTAGGGAGAGGATACCTTCTGAGAGGTTTGCAGCACCCACACTCCTGTGGGCTAAGCTGCTGCTTATCTGACTGCTCCTCTGGGTATGGCTCTTCTCCATTTCCCAAGGTCATTCCTACTGATTGGACATTTAGAAAATTTTCAGAAATGTTTGTATTTCTGTTCATATAGTTTAAAATGAAATAGAATCAGCAGGAAATATGGCAGTTTAGCAAAATCTCCCAAGTTCATGGAAAGATGAACTTGAGTTAAAACAGATACTTCTCACTTTCGGGCTCAGTTTATAGCTAGGTGCTTTTTTATGGAAAAGGGCAGATCTTTAGAGAAGCCTCAAATTTCCTTAACCCCTCTTAAAAAAAAGAAGCAAAAAGAAGTCCTCCCATATTTCTCCCTGCCCACTGTCTCTGGGACTGTAAATGGGGTGCTGGGAATAAGGTGACACCTGTGGATTACTCATCAACCAGCAAGACTATGGATATGTAAGTGTTATGTAAACAGTCTGTATGTGTATGAAATATGAGAAAGCCAATGCATACAGCTTCTGCATTCACCTGTATTCTTAACCGTGACAATACTTTTCTTTCCCTCATCATTGAAACAAGTTGCAAAATAGGATTGCCAGATAAGAAATGGTATTTTACATCTCTGAGAACTGAGAGAAACAGCAGAAAGGCTGCATTATGCACTGTTTTTTTAAAGCACTTCATCAGACCTTACCAATTACCTTACTATATGTATATACTAATTATTTTAGGCAGGGCCGGGCAAAATCTTGATGAATTAAAAAAAATTGGAGTCTATGATCCTAAGCAGAAATCTATGAATTTAAGCAAGTATCATCTTGATTCACACCTGCTCTTGAATTCAGAAAAACCTGAAAGCAAAATAAATTTACGTGAGGTTAAGCTATAAAACAGCATAAGCAATTTGCAGTTTGTGGGCAATTTGCAACCCTCAACTCTTTTTTGAAAATCCTGGAGCACTTCTGATTACATCCAAGATCATCTGCGACAGAATTGCTAAAAATAGCAGCATGGTTTTCAATTGTCATGAGATAAGCCTATAAAAATGGCCATGTATGCCTTGAAATAAGCTTAACACAGTCAAAAACACAAACTTGCAAAGTGTCTCCTGAAAGGCAGGGCTAGAGATAATAGTTGAGCATTTATTGCTTCTTTAATATATAAGACCACCCCACTTTACTTTTGTTGTGCCAACAAAGAATATAATTTACCAATTTTGGGGTATTCTAAAAATTTGCTATATTGTCTTTTGATATGTACTTCTTGCAGGCAAATTATATCTAATTTCATTTTTTGCAATTTCATAAGAATTCTTTTCATGGGAGAATTTAGTCCATTTATATTAATCAACAGTAAATTTATTTCTTCTATTTCATTAATATATAGGTTTTGCCGTTCTAGTTGCTCTTGTTTCTCTCTACTCTTTAGCTCTTGCTCCTTTTCTTTTTTGTTCAGTTTCACTTTCTTCTTCTTGTTACTTGTGGTTTCTCGTGCCGTTAATTCATCTTGTCCTCTCTCTTCTATTTCCTCTCTTTTTTCTTGTTCATCATACGGGTTGAAATGATAGCCATAGAATTCATATGTTTTATCTAATGAATCCAATCTCTCTTTTGTCATTCTTTGTAATCAAAATTCCTTCAGGTATCAGCCATCGAAAACATATCTGATGTTTAATCAACTGTCCTGTCAGGAATTGGTATTGCTTCCGTAGGTCTCTTACTCTTCTGGGCACCTGTTTTAAAACCACAATCTCTCTCCCTTTATATTTCAACAGTTCATCTCTTACTTTTTAAAGAATTTCTGCTCTTATTGTTTTATTGATGAATCTCATATGCACCTCCCTTGGGAGTTTCTTCTTTCTTGCATAACTAGTATGAATTCTAAACACTTCATTGAACTCAGCCCTCATGTCCTGTTTCGTTATCTGTAGGGCCTGTGTCATTAACTCAGCCATCAATTCAGCTGGAACATCTTCCTTTTCTTCAATATTCTGGAATCTCAGAAAATGTTTGGCCTTCTCCATTTGCAGCTGAATTACAGTTCCCTCCAGTTCCTTATTAGCCTGCATTAATCTCTGGTTCATTTCCTCTGCTTTTTTCCTCTGTTTGTTCTGATTTCAATAGTTTTGATCTTTTCTTCAGTTTTGGCTAACATCTGCTGAAATTTCCCCAATTTTTTATCCATGCTTTCCCTTTACTCCATCTCTCCCATCTCCGTCTTAATCTCTCCCATCTCATTCTTCATTTCATTGTGGTTCTTGGCTATGGTCTTTGTAGTGATTGAAACAATGCCTGCATGTCTTTGTGAATTGTATTCATTTTCTCCTGAATCAAACTTTCTATGGACCTTTGGTTTGAGGGACTTGACTTTGCTGATGATGGCGCCAATGGGATTCCCCCCCACTAGTTTAGATAAATTTGAGTTTGACATTTTAAACTATTATCAATATATCAATTGATATATTAAAGCAAATGCCCAACAATAATTCTAAATTCTGCCAAATCTTCCACTCCCTTTTGTTCCCCTTTTTTAGTATTAACCAATAGGTCTCTTCCCCTGCCCTTTTTTTAAAGTCAACAACCAACTTCAGTGTTCTTTAACTTTAAATTCCACACAGTCTATGTCTGAACTAATCCAAAAGATTTCTTCAGCATTCTTTTTAATCCACTTATTCTTCTTATAGCAAATGGTATTTATAATCCACAAGGCCCACAAAACCTCCAATAATTATAAGTTGCCCTCTCCAGCCGTTCAAAAGGCCATCCACTTAACTTCAAAATAAATCCAAGTTTCACACTGCCCAGGTATTTGTAATCCACACAGATTCAGAGAGTTTCAATCACAAGTTTTCTGTGTCTTCCAAGTGTCAAATGTAAACAATTTACAGGTGTTAATTCCATAAGTCTGCAACAAGTCAGGCTTATCAGTTCAATTCCAGGCAAACCCAAACAATTCACTTTTTCCAAGGCAATTCAAGGTCTTCTCCCTCCCGGTGTCAAATTCTACCAGTAGATGGTGCCCTTACTCTGTTTCTCCACTGTCACACAGTTTCACTTCAAGAATTTTTATGTGCTTTCAAAATGTCCAAGATTCACTTTTCAAAGTTTTCAATACTCAAAAAAAATGTCTTAAATGCGCTGTAGAAATCAGGCAAAATGTCCTCAAACAATCAGCCCAGGGTCTCAGTCACTTAAAAGTCTATTTCTTAAAAGCGCTCTCTTTTCATTCCTTTGAATCTGTCAGCAGCTCATGAGCTTAGTTGCTGCCATTCTTGAGTGATTAAAGACCACCTCTTCCCTTTTAGAGTCTCATTTCAAATAAAAAGTTAATTTCTGGGGCAAATTCCTCAACAGAAGTTGGAAAATTGAAAGTATCTCACCCAGATCAACCATGCTGTTATCCACCTGTCTTCTTCATTGCTCTTTCATTGAAGCTGTCACAGCCTTGATCCGGCCAGTTTAATGGTTGTCTTTTCCCTCTGCCTGTTTGAGGGGTTTTTCCAGATAGAACAAGGAGTTTGCTGACTCCTTGTGATCAACGGAATTTTCACTCTGTTTTCACCACCTCTCCAAGGTGGCTTGGGTCCAAATGAGTCCAATTGGACCTCCTAGCAGGTGGAATTCGGCGGCTTAGCATGGAGCCCCATGAAAGCACACTGTTTCGCTGCAATGTCATCTCCTCCCCCAATTGGCTTTTTGTTGAGTAACCCAGAGATGATGGAGAACAACTTCTTGGATTTAGCTTCTTTTTGTTTTCTCTGCAATTTCTACTGACTGTTCTGATATCCGGTTTGGTTTCTTCTGTTTCTTGTTCTTTGGCAATGTCTTTTTATATTCATAACATTTTTATTTGATTCTGTAGTTTGTCTGGTTCCCTATCAGTGGAGTTCAAGATTTCAGAGCAATTCCTGATGTTCTCCTTGAAAATTGTTATAAGCTTATATGTTATATCATATCATGGAAATTGGTTGATTTTCTTATGCTGTGGTAGCTTGAGCAGTTCATGATCTATTCCGTCTAATCATCATCTGTCTACATGAGCAGTTCATGATCTTTGCTGTAAAACTGAGCTCTTCCAATTCCTTGTATCAATAATATTGTCAGTTTGATTTCTATGTACTCTGTCTAATGGTATCCATGTACGTTGGTGGTGTTTTGGTTGTTTGAAGATCATTTGGCTTTTTGAAAATTCATTTAAACAATTACGCAAAGAAAGATTAGCAATCTGAACATTGGAAATTTACCTTAAGCAGAGAAAAAGAGGAGAGAGAGAAGAGGGAAAATAAGAGGGAGAGAAGAAATAAAGATCTACAGTAACTACCTTATTAGACTTTGAAGTTCAGAAGATGACTACAATTGCAATTTTATTAAATAGATTGATACCCAGTCTCTACTATGTACCTCTTGTGAAGAAAGAATATGACCAGCTGAAGGTCATTTCCAGTAATGGGATCTTGGCAATGGGAAGGTTTAATAGATCAGTTTTAAAATTGAAAAATAGAGCTATATTCAGTGCCTGCTGAAATAACAATTTCAATTCTGTTTTTAGCTTATTGCAGAGGAAGTCATTCCTTTCCAGTGCTAAAAGCTCATGATATTAAAACATCTGCTACTGACAAAATAATCAGACAATCAGACAAGAAGGCTGATAGGAAATTGTAACCAAAAAATGTAAGATATTTATATTTATTAAGATGAATTGGGACACACAACTGCCCCAAAAGTTCTGGAATCTTAAATCTTTAAGATTTATCCACTGTAAATATGGAATATGAATATGGATATGGATATGAAAATATGGATATGGATATGGATATGAAAATATGGATATGAATATGGATATGAATATGGATATGAAAATATCCACTGTAATGGTGAAGCCAATGTCACCTTAAGATTAACAGGTGTATCATTGTTCTTTCACTAAGCAAAATCCATACTTTGGTCTATGGAACATACACAGACATATGGCCTATCTGTGACAGTGTATAGCACTTAACCTTAGTGCTTAACTGCAAACAAGCTGTAGAACAAGCAAGATGTTCTTGAACAGCAATAAACTTGCTGGGAAACAAGTTTCTATATATTCTCATGGATTTCAAGAAGCTGGGAAGGAAACAGGTGAAACTTGTCTCACCTTAAATGAGACAAGGTGGACCAGGATGTCCTGGACCTGCTGAAGAGTTTCATTGTTTTGAAGGTGAGGAGCTCACTCAAAACTCCTGAAGGAATTGTGAATACGATCTGGACAGGATTATTGAAGAAGGAAGGCATCAAAGGGGGAAGAGATTTATTTGAAAGGGAGTCACCTTCCAGAGAAACATTTATGATCCTATTATGTCAGTGTGAGGAATTGCCAGCTAAGTTTAATACTCGTTTAACTCTAATGAGAGAAAGTAGGAGGGAGCAATTGTTACACATACAGGGCCTATAAGCAGAAATGTCATTTTTCAGGCAGGGCAATCATTTACCTTTTATAAGCTGCTTAAGACCTGGTTGTTCACCCAAGACTTCAGCTAGAATGACCCTCTTTGGTTGACTATTGACTGCTTGGCTTTTGGAGTTTGGTCCTGGTTGGCTGTCTCCCCCCTCCCTCTTTTATCTGTAAACCACTCGAGTTGCTATAGAGCAGGGCTGTCAAACTCAATTTCATTGAGGGCCGCATGAGGGCTGAGGTTGACCTGGGGGGGGGGGCGACGGCGGCTGTGGCTGACTGGATGGGTGTGGCCAGCTTAATATCACTTCCCAAACTGCTGGCATGTTTCCTCTTTGCATTGGGTAGATCGGGCCAAAGCAACGCAGGCCAGCTACTTACATTTTTCAGGATGGCCCTGCGGGCCATATCCAGTCACATCATGGGCTGGATCCAACCCGCAGGCCTTGTGTTTGACACCCCTGCTATAGAGCCTCAAAATTGAAACAATTAAAATCCTCCTGAAGACATCTTCTGCAGAGTGTACCATGCATATTCCTCTCTCAGATATGGCAGATTATACTGAGGCAGCCCAAGGGAACAGATCAACTCACGTTAGAGATAGTTACCCTACTCATACCATATGGTTTCATACTGGCTTGTCTACACCACACAGCTCTTTCAGTTTGATGAGGGGACTTTTGCACTAGTAGTGAGCAATATGGTTGAGATATTTTTACATTGTGGGCAGTGCTAGTACCCACTTGGGGAATTAAGAGATTCTTTCACTGAGTTCACAAAGGAGCTGTGCAGACAGGACACAGCAGTGTGAGCCATATGGAGTGAGGCAGCTCCCTACATCACCAGAAGAGCAAGATGCTCCAAAGCTCTGTCATTAGCAAATTACGTAGAGCCTTCAAATCCGGCTGACATAACTAGATTTGCCACAAGTAATGAAAAGGAGAAGCAAATCCAGCTTCATTGTACATGTTTGCCCTTGAAATAATCTTTTGGACATGTGCAAAAGCCTTCCATTTTGCATGTACAAAAAGTTAACACCATCATCACAAAGGCCAAAACTACAGATCACAAAAACTCATACATAGGATTGATGCCTATCCACAGATCGTGAAGGCAACATGTATGAAATCTGGTAGACCTATAAGCAATATAAATATGCCAAGGCCAGAATCACTTTTACAAAAAAGATTAGTCAAAACAGATGGACGCCACATTCAGCAAGAATGCAATTTACTTCCATTAGCTTGCAGTGGCTTTATTACAGTATATGGGGGCAGTACAATTCTCTCTTAATTGTGGAAGTATTTTGACCCTTTAGTGCGTTGTAATGAACTGTTGCAAGTCAAGGACTACGTGTACTGTACATTGTCTGCTTTTGTGAAAAAATGAAGCTTTGAAATCTATCCCATCTGTCATTTTAAAAACCTTTTGAAATTTCTACAGAATGTTGCTTGTTGCTTTGGAAAGCATGGGCGGAACTGGATTTATCCAAACCATCGTTTTATTTCCCCTGAAAATATATTGAATGTGAAGGATTATTTCTACCAAAATGGGCTAAACTATCATTCTATTAAAGATCCTTGTTACATATTTAGCAAAATATACTTTTCATGAGGCCTAGATATAGCCACTAGGTGCATGCAATGCTATTCGATCCAGAGGGTAAGGTGCTTGTGTGGAGATATCAAGTAGTACCTGTTGGCACTTCCTGAAATGAAATACATTTATTTCTGGGATTTTACAGCAGCCTGAGGCAGTCTTGGAAAAATAAAAGGTTCTAAGGAATCGTTGCAAGCTGCCACACAACTGTGTACCACAAAGCACCTTTCTTCCTCAAAGCATGAAACAATTCTAATAACTACAATGTTTATCTTGCATACTTTTGCAAACAACTTATTAAAAGCAGTGCTGTATTTCAGAGCTGGGGTTAATGTGCTTTGCCTTTATTGTAAATTAACCATACTTTGTAATATGACTTGGAAATAATTATGTCTTTTTTGTTACTTCAGTATACAACTTGTATACTGTGCAATGATAGTGTGCAACTCATTGTTACAGAAACAGAACACTTTTTGTCACATTCCCTTTCATCTGTTCTGGAAGTTTTGCTCATGGAAAATATACAAACTGCTCCCTGAATGACACATTTCAGGTAAACATCATGTTTCTGAACCAGTTTGATAAGGAACAAGCAACTGTATATACAGGCTGCAATTAATGTTGGGAATACTGCTGAAAAAAATATACTTACCATGAAGATCTGCTTGCATTTTCAACAGCATACAGAAGATATCTTCTTCCTTTAGGTATGTGATCTTGTTGAAAAGATACGGTTCTTGTTCATGTTTCTTACATTAAGGAACTAGTTTTTACTTTAAGTCTCCTATTATACAGAAGAATACTGTACAGCCTTCCATATCTAAATTCAGCAAAATTAAATTTGCCAGAGTAAATGGAACTCTGACCTGCCTATCTGAGTTGTATGTATGTATATGTGTGTGTGTGTGTGTGTATACACACATTCACATTGCAATATGCAGCTGCATCCAGTTGTGATTTTAATGACCAATTTTCTAGGTCATTAGGACTATGGAATACTGTAGTATTCCATAAGGCTATGGAATACTGCATCAATGTGTTCTATATGCAATTTTAATATAATGCAGTGAACTAATCATAAAAAGAAACTACTATACTATATTGTAAAATACATTGTTTCTAATTAATAATTCTAGCATTTAGAAAATGTAACCTGTATCACTGACATAACACAAAAATGCTTAGCATTTAGTATTGCTTTTCAAGATTCAGCCAGACAGAAAACACATAAAAAATAACCAAGTAAGGGGGAGGCCAAATTATTTTATTTAATTTTTTTTTAAAACTAGCCAATCATTTCTGGCAGATAGCACTGTTATCTACGTTAGATAAGTGCTAGATTTCAGGTGTCAATTAAATCCCAAAGTTTGTATGGTGTAATTGAATTTAACTCCATATATTCTTTTCAAACAATTTCACATCTTTCTGAAAGCTTATTTTTCAATAAAACATTGCGTGCCACGGACTGTAAATTTTTTCAGTAGTGCAACAGTAATGTTTTCACATTTCCATTGAAAATTAGTATTTTTTCCTTTGAAAAATCTCAATACCTTGTGCAAATGTTGACAGATCTTTCCATGTGTCAAACACATTTTAAAAAGATGTCCATTATTATGTACAAAAGCCATCTACCGCATGGGCAGTGTAAAATACATCCTTTCATAACAAAACTAAAATGTACCTCAAAATATGAATATACACATTACATGATATACATTATTTACATATCCATAAAAAATTAGAGTACAGGTTTCTGTTTTTAAGACTAGTCAGTCCTTTGAACATCAAAATGCAACAAGGCTGGGTTCAGATTGTTGGCATGTTCTTTGTCAGAAGCTATGCTTGAACTTTTAAGAGTGTCTTTAAATGGACTGCCATCATCTTTCTGTTTTTGTCAGAAAATTCAACAGTGCTCCCAACCCAGTGACTGGGAGGCTTTGGAAGGACACTGGGTGAAGGAGGATCACTAAATTTTGCCCCAGCATAATTTTCTTTTTGGTTAGCTTCTGTCACAAAAATAGATTTCTTTGCTTTAAAATTTTCTGTATTTTTCAAAGGCTTTTTCTCCTGCCTTTTAATGAGTTCAGATGATAACGATTCTTGCCAAAATGTATTTTCACACTTTTTTGTAGATGGAAATTTATTTAGTGATATGTTACATTTACTCCTCTGTCTGTTACTCTTTGATTGGTCAGATAGATGCATATTGTGAACAGGCTGATTGTAAGGCAGCGGAATCTTCTCAGATTTTCCTATCCTGTTTTTCAACAACTGTAAAGATAGAAGATAATCTCATAAATATCTCTGACAATAATTTCTAATGTCTTAATATTAAATAAACTCCAGTTAATCCTTTATTCTATTACATTAGCTTATAGTTCCATATAAAAATAAAAGTTAGGCTCACCTAGCTATAAATTGCCTGTTTGCACTTCACAATTGTTATCAAATTGTTTTATCCTTTTCCTTCATTTCCTGGCTTGCCTTCTGTTTGTTAACTAGATGTCAGGACCTGTTTCACTTTAGAGACAATAGTTTTGAGATAGCACTTGTCTAAAAATCATAATTAAAAATTAAAATGGAAACAAGCAGTATTCTAGTGATCTTAACGCTAACCCTATACAGTGTATGCTTCAATGCAACTGATTTCAAGAGTTTGTTTTTAAGCCCCAAAATTAGAGGTTACTGCCTAAACAGCTGAGGAATGCATTGCTATATGATGTATGAATCTTTATAACCAATCAGACCACTGCTGTATCTTGTATATTCAACTAAGTTACTTTAAAACTGTAGATTAACAGAATAATGCAATTTTCCTCTAACTAGGCAGAGGTTCCCACTGAAATGACCTTTTACAGTTCTGAGGATCTGACAGGATCTAAGGATTTCATAGCTGTAATACTGTTTCCTACTAATATGTATAATTCACAGAACACATTTTAAAATAAATAATGTCCCTAAGTGAGAAACAGTGCCAGTTAAAACTAAGGTGCAACTTCAACAGTTCATTTAGTGACTATTCAAAGTTACAGCACTGAAGGGACACAACCATTTTTCACAAGATCATTGCAGCATCCCCATGGTCACATGATCAAAATTCAGTCTCTTGGCAACTGACTCATATTTATGACGGTTGCAGTGTCCCAGAGTTACGTGATCCCATTTGGCGACTTGACAAGCACAGTCACTGGGGAAGCCAGATTCACATAACAGTGTTACTAACCTAACATCTGCAATGATTCATTGAAAAATGGCTGCAAGAAAAGTAATAAAACAGGGGGGAAACTCACTTAGCAAATGTCTCGCTTAGCAACAGAAATTTTGGGCTCAATTGTGGTCATAGGTTGAGAACTACCTGCGTAACCCATCCGATTATACTACACTGCAAATGCGACAAAGATCTTGGGAGAGGAAAAATTACGAAAATGAAGAGAGCACTCAGCAGGAAACAGTGGATTTTCCGTAGGCTGTCCCTAAGGTCTGGAAGATTTTTTGGGGGGGGGGGGGTTTGAGCTTAAAAATATTTAAAGACCAGTTGCCTGCCAGGATGAAAAATAAGCCACAAGGACCCTTCTCTAACTACGTCTTCCAAATCAAAGTCACTTCACCGGCAGGTTTGCTGGTTATTCCTGTCAGAAGCATCACAATTAAAATATGGCATAGCCCATACGACCTCAGATTTAAAATATACAAGATTTAAGAGATGCTCAAATCGAACAGATCAAATTGGCAGGTAACTCTCCCCACCCCCGAATCGAGGGGGGGTGGTGGAAGAGTGGCATCGACTTCTCGGTAAACAAGCCGAGGGAGCGGCCATCCGCTACCCGCCCCCACGGCGGGCACTGCGAAGCGAAACCAAACCAACAGCCTCTTCTCCGCCACGGAGGCGGCCCGCCCTCCCCCGTCGCCCATTGGGCAACAGCCTCGGCCGTCGCGTCGCTCTGCCGCTCCGCCTCAGCCCAGGGGCTGAATCCGTCTGTTGCTGGGCGCAGGCTCGAAGCCGATTGGCGCGCGCTTTCTACCTATCCGCGCCCGTGGAATCTCCCTGCGGCGGCTGCCTTCGCGCGCAGGCGATGTAACGGAAATTCGGCCCCGCCCGCCGAGCCCGGAGCGGACTCCGTGCGGCTCGTCCCTCCCAGCTTCGAGAAAGAGCTGCTTTTCGGCCCTGTGGTTCGCCTCACCTCTTTCCTGAAGGGCTTGTTTGTAACGACCGGGGTCGTTCTTGGCGAAGGCGCCAGAGCTTCCTCGCTGGAACGTCCCGTCTCTAATCCAGAGTCTGACGAAGCGGTGGAGACTTCGCAGCGGTTGCGCGTCCCTTGCGCGGCGTTCCTTCGTCCCAAGCCGGCGCGGTGTTGTTGGAATTGCTGGTAGCAGCGACACTGTAAGAGGCCACAGGGAGCAGAACGGATCTTCCTTCTTCGTCGCCTGACTCTTTTCAGCGACGGTCTTGCGCTACCGTTTGATCCTAGTCCCGGACAGCAGCCGGGTTGGGGGCTTTCGCTGCTGTAGTCTGCCCGCAGGAGTCGTTGAAAAAGGGACGTAGGAAACGGACGATGGTCCTCGGTACCGGCTGACAACCGGGCTAGAAAGGGCGAAGGCGCTGTGGTAGTCACCATAGTGAAGGCTTGGAATATATGCGCAGCAGCGCAGGGGCAGGGAGAAGCAAGGGGGGGGGGGGGGGGACAAAAAAATCGGGGATGGAGGGTTGGGACTGCTGAGCCTCGGTCGAAGCCGAGGCTGCGCTGGTCGAAGCGAGCAGATCCTCTCAGGAGAACATGGCGGGGGAGTGAAGCGAGGAGCCCCAACGCCCTGCTGTTGTTACTCCAAGAGGGGCCCGCCCTCTTCCAGTTGACCGCCAATCAGAACAAAGCCACAGCGAGAGCTTCCGCCTCCCGTCCCTACTGTCCAATCGGCAGGGAGTTCGCTCCTTTACGGCATCCGCGCCACCAATGCGGGCAGGCGTAAAGCTTGCAGGGAGGTGGGGCGGGGGGGGTCTCACCCTTCTAAGAGGCCTTTAAAAGTTTTCTGTGAGCCGTGGTGGTGGGCGGGGAGCGTCCTTTGTCTAGCGACGGGCCCTCCCTCTCAATTCGGTAGAGTTGTGAGTAAACAAGCATAGGATTGCGCCTGTGGGGCGGCGGCGTCCAATCAGGAGGACCGAACGGCACTTAGCCCGCCTCTCTTATTTGTGTGACAGTAAATCCGGAAGGAGGAGGAGGAGAGTGAGAAGTGGTCGCCAGCCCGAGGAGAAGGAGTAAAGAGCGGGAGGTCCGAAGGAACGCCGGCGGCGCTATGGCAGAGGAGGCGGCTGCTGCAGTAATATTGGTGCCGCGAGGCCCGGAGGCTGCGGGGTTGCTAGAGGAACTCGATGGTCCCGTCCACCAGGAGGAGAGTCCTCCTCGCTTCGTGGCCACCGGCTTAGATCATCAGCAGGTCTGGCTGAGCTCTTGGATGAGTCCCGCCTGCCAAATCCCAGCTATCGATCCCAAGGCGCTGCAGGACTTGGCAAGTCTGGCCGTCCGGGTGGCGACGCAAGTAGAGGAACTGCTGCGAAACGTGCAAGGCGCCCTGCAGGCTCTGACAACCCTCAGCGTGGGCTGCATCCAAACCTACCGAGATGGGGTGGAGAGCCTGGGAGAAGCCGTAGACACAAGCATCCGCTCCATGTACACGCTCATGGCCCGCTGCGAAGAGCTGGATCTGGAGCTGCAGCCGGTACCGGCCCTGGCCAGATCCATCCGGGACATGAAGAGTGCGCTGGACAGACTGGAAGGCCTCTGCAAATAAATCTACTGAGCTGCTTTTCCTGCTGGCCTCTCGGACCTTGAGGCTTGTCTCCAGCCAAGAATGCCTGTCTCTTAGTAGATACTTCTTCAGAACCCGCTGCTTGGTAAATCTCAGGATCCTTGCAAAGCTAATGGTTAACCAGCTGTGAGAAACTGGATGAAATTGGTTTGGCCGTTTGATAAATAACCAGTTCTTCCTCAGTCTCATTTTCCCCTCTCTTGCAACAATGCCAGTAAAGACGAATCCATAGTTCCTTGCACATAAAGGGTTCTGTAAAAACCGCCTAAACATTTAGTCTTGATAATAAATTTTATGTAGTCTGCTCCATATATGTTTATTCAGAAATAAGTCCTAATGTGTTTGCTGAGGCATATGTGAAAATAAAGATCATGCAAGATTTTAGTCTTGAGTTGCCACACAATAGAATTTAATTCCTGAATGAATGTGTAAGTCGAACTGCAAACTGAATAAAACATGCTTCTTATTTGCAACTGTTTATGTAAACATACATGACATTCTTAACTAGATAATTTATAGACTCATTGAGATAAATTTAACGTACTGGACAATGTTAATATCTAAACTATGTTTCACGAAGAATTGTTTATATGAGCAATATTAGCATTTATCTTAAACTAAAGGTTAGTATTCATCTAAATTTCCACATTTTTATATTGTTTTATAGGCTTATATTGGTTGAAGTTTGAAAATACTGGAAATATTAAGGTGAAGCAACATCTATTTTCAATATTCATAAATCAGCCAAGCCACATTACTTAGACTAAAATTCCTGGAGGGCAATGACGTAATATTGAGAAGATGCAAAGTAATAACTGATCTGGGAATTTCCAGGGCTACAATCTGCCCTCATTTATGAACTGACTGAATGACGTTGCAGAAAGTCACTATATACAAATCCCAAGATATGGCATAAAACACATATGCTGAAACTAAGCAGGATGATTGCTAGTCAGTGTTTGAATATGTTGAATGCAGCATATTGGTGAGAATTGGTTGGCTTTTGAGATCCACATAGTTTTTCAGTAGAATTACAAAAATCACCAGACAGGAGAATTAAGGAGGAAGTGCTTCTTAATATATATTTAGTTTGGGAATTTATTTTCATTACTAGAGATGAACCTGAAATTCGAGCATAAATCTTGTCATGTATATACTAATACTATTCTCCAGGTTTTCTTGATTTAGTCACTTTAAAATGGGGAAATACTTTAAAAAGCAATAAAGATTTATGAACCTGCAAGTCTTTGTTCATCATGCTAAAATGTATTGCAGATTCTTTTCTAATTTCTGTACGGACCTGATATATAGTGCCTTGATTCCTATAGGAAGATGAAATGTAAAGGTCAAATGTTATTTTTTGATTCTGCCTATAATTACCTTGACAGTGTTGTGAATTTTAGAAGTGGCTTCATCTCTCTAGTAATCTCTTCTGATCTAACATTTGCTCTCAGGTACCAGTAATATATGAAATATTAATTATTGACCTGTAAAACTATTAACAAAATAATCTATGTTGATGATGTTTACCATTTAAAACAATAACAAAATGGTAAAGTAAACTTTGAACTGTGTTCTTGGGTTTTATTGCTGAAATCAAGAGTCTGTTCCATAATATTCCTGTTTAAAAAGAGTAATATTAATAAAAATTTCCTATATGAATATAAGATGTATAACTGCACTGTAGTCATTAGATTTATTCAAAGTTCAGCACTTCTGTTTGAGAATGTCATTAATTTTCTAGTTGAAATCTATGATACTAAAGAAATGCTTTTATGTAGGAATCTGCTATGTTAATATGTCCCATTGATTTTTTAAAAATACCATAGGGTCAGTGTACAAAGGAACTAATTTTTTAATAATCAAGATACCACTATTCTCTAAAAATGTTAGAGGTTTGTGCCATCTTAAGGATCAAATCTCCATTGTACAAGCTTTTGTATGGCCAGTTACATGGTGAATTATAATATATTTTGTTACTTTTCAAACCTTAAGTTTAAATGCTATAAAACAAGCACTGTGGTACTGTAAGTTTACTGCAGAAATTCAATATACAGTAGTTGCTAATTTGGAAACAGCTGCTTTACTATTCTATTAGAGCTTTATAGTTAAAGTTTTAGTTTATAGTACATAGTTGAAAGTTGAAAATTTTATTAATAGGGTTTAGAATAAAACTTCCACAATCATGCTTTTTTAATCTGCTTGGTAAGTTTTTCAGATATCTTTAATTATCTCTAACTTGTTCATTATCCTAATCCTATAGTTAGAAAGTACTTCGATTCTTTGTAGTTGTGTTTGCTAAAGATATTAACATCTTAAACCAAATTTCTGGAGTCACCCAACATACCTAGTAAACTAGTATAAACATCATATGACCTTAGTTTGCACAACAGACTAAAATACAATATGGTTGGCTAGTTTGTGGTTCAACGTGAGTACTACTTTTGAGTTATACTCTGGCAATGGAGAGCATTTGAACATGTGTCATAACACGCAGAAACATTTTTAACAATAATTAAAGCAATTACACTGCTGCAAAGCTGACGGGGATGAAAATGGCTTCCAGCTATCCCCACAGGCCTGTATGTGTGCAATTGCTTTGCTTTCAGGACAGCCAGGTACAGCTTACAAAGCAGCCATCTGTGCCTTGCAAAAACACTGCTGCTCTAATAATTCAAAAAGAGATTCTTTGTTGATCATGCATGTGAAATACACAGCACTAGTTTATAGCTTTGCCATCTTTTTGTGGTACATAAGGACAGGTCTTTAGCTTGTCCAACTCAATGAATGAATGCTCACTAAAGTCCAAACCTCAGCACGATCAAGAGCCATGTGTAGTAGAGAATATTCATAACATTTGGAAAATGTAAAGTTCATGAAGGATGGATCCAGATATATTTATTTTCATCTGAGTAAATTATGATTTAAAAAAAAAATGCAATAGCTGTTGGGTTTTTTGTTTCATAATATTAATAAAAATAAAAAGTAAACAGTGTATGTATTTGGGATTTTTTGCTTGCATTTTTATTCAATAAAAATGTTAAAAACTAAAAATTTCAGTAAATATTTTAGGTTACATCCTTTCAGCGAGAATTATTTTTTTAAAAAATGACTTCATTGCATTATATTGTCGCAGATACAGTGAAATTGATGCTTTATTTTAATACATTTGTTCCATTTAGGTAAAAAGCAATTGCATGTATTTTTGGTATTTAATATTTTCAGGTGTTTATTTTCTTTTGAAATTTAGCTCATGGGACTTGGAGAAAGAAAGTGGGCTTATAGTCAAAAGACTTGCTGTTCAATTTAAGAAAAAGAAATATACGGCTCCAACAATTCAGTGCTTTGCAGAATTGATTAATATAGATCAGCTAGGGGTGACTGGAATGACTAATGGCTTGAATTTATCAATATAGGTATAATCTGTAAATATCTATCTTGTATATTTTTCTTTTTTTAGCTATTTCTCTTTTGTGTTTTATAATTTTGTGTAGTTCTTGTTTTCTTATTTAGTTTATTGAAAAGCCCCAAAACTTCAATAAGAGGTATGAATATATTTGATTAGGAAATTGAATTTTAGTATAATTTATCTGTAGACAAAAACATTCTTTTTCTAACAAAATTATCAGAATGTCACAGAACAAACATAGTTTCACCTATGTTTCATCTAGTCTCATTTTACTTTCCTTGCCCAAAGCACTTAGGCTTCAGTTCTGAAATAAATATGTTCTTTTGTGTTTATGGCAAAACCCTTGTTTACCTCTGTTTCATGGTAGAAAGAATGCAGCTCACACAGTTATTTCTGCCTTAGGGTAAAAATAATGCTGTTCGTTATGTTCTTATATTGTAGTAGTGTGGGTGTGGGGGGAGGGGGTGGTGGCAGATCATCTAGTGAAGGTTTTGGATTTTGCTTTGCCAGAAAAATACCTTGGAAAGAAAGAAATCAGGAATAAACTCAAAGTTAAACAATCATGTCCTTAGATGCCTACAACTTTTATGTTGTTGAGAGCATATAATGCTGACATTAGAAGGACCACTATAATAATTTTTCATTTTTTTTTCATCTTGGCTTGTTTTACATGCAATCCTTGTTTGACTCATTGCCAAATAACAGTTCTTTCAACTGTAATCATTTGTATTGCTGACCTTTCTCCTTTTCCATTGGAGGTGCTGTGACCTATTTTCAAGACACCACTGCTCCTATGTTCAACAGCTCTGCAATTATTCTTTTCCAGGCCAGAAAAGCAATTTATAAAAAAACTGACATAGCTATTTCAGTGGTTTTGAATATTTATCTTGCCAGGGGCAAGTTTGTGGTGGACAAAATGGCAACAGACTTTCTCCGCATTTTATGTAGTACTGAACATTGCAACTGAACCAGAAACACTTGATAGAATGGCCCATTTCAGCCATAAAGTTCACTGGGGGATTTTTAGAGCTAGTTGCTATTGTCCAGTCTACTGTGCATCATGTAAAAACTGTGAGATTGAAAATCTGAACTCTTATTCTGAGATTCACAAAACAATAATAGCATAATAAATTATTATTCATGTGTTTCCTTTAGAGCAGGGCTGTCAAATTCCCGGTCCATGGGAAACGAAGCAATATAAACTCAAATCTTTGGTATGGCTATAATGCTGCTGGTAAAAAGAAATGCCTCAAAAATCTAGAATTGTGTTTTTATCAGGGAATGAGATGGTAGGCTTTGTTGGCATTTTGAGGCTCTTTAACTGTTTGACAAGCAAAAACATGTAGCAAACCTCAATTATATAGCAAAAGCAGTTGGAAAAAAATAACTGATCAAGGGCTTGTCTGCTATAAATTAAAGGCTGTTATAAGAGAATATTAAACAGCTGCTGCCTAGACTTGCTCTTGAAAATTGTAAGCAGGAACGTGGATGACTCAGTCTCATGTGATGTGCAGAGAGAGGTGATGTAATGAGTGTGAAATACACATGACTCCCAGGAGAGCAACACACACACAAACACACACACAAACACACACACACGGTGTGGCCAATGTTCCTTTTATTCTTCATTGTGGACAAAAAGACAATAATGCCAACATTATGCCTACACCTTTCTTTGTTGTTAATTCAAATTCTAACTTCCTATATTCACATAACAAAAGGGAGATAATGCGGATTTATGATGAAAATGATTGGTTCAAAATGGAATGGAAATATGTGATTTTCATCACCCCCTGTTCAATGTTGTTTTGTCCCACACTCTTCAACAGTAACTATCTTTGAAAGCAACAATCAAAGTCTTTCCATTTTTAATATTGATGAACCACATGAATGCTCTATTTTGTGGGAGGGAACTAAATGTTCTTTGGATTTAAGGATAGATTTTTCTGGACAAATGTACATGAAATATTGATGGGCTCTGACGTAGATTAGATCTATGTAAAGCACTTAGTGGCGGGGAAAAAAAGTATACATTTCTATCGGAGACCACAAAGTGGTACCACTGAATATGTTCTGTTCAGTTTGTAATTGAGAATTAAGGATTGGATTGAGAAGCATCAGTTACTTCTGGATCTGTACATGTTTCTTTTGATTCATTTTCTGATAAGAAAATTTCACAGTAAAACATTCAAAATCTGTTCACTAAAAGTGGGTAGAATGAACACACAAATGACATTTCTCATACCCTCTTGAAATTTCTGAAAGTCTGCTTTTTATTGTGGTCTTTGTGAATCAGCTCTTGGATGACTGACAATGTGAAAACCACTTTAGGGGAGGTAGATTATAAATTATATACTGTATATGATTTAGCTTAAGATTTGTATTCTGATTTAACCCCGTGCTCAAGGTAGCTTACGAAGAATTGTTACCTCAAGTTGGGCTGAGAAATAGAGACTGGCTAGAGTCATCCAATATATTTCCATGGCTGTGATCCTAGTCCAATATCTCAATCAATGCACATGTATATCAATGCCTGTGTACATCTTCCCTCCTTCCTTCCTATTATTCTATTTTTGATCATCTTCTGACAAATAGTTTTACAAGTTTTGTCTTGTTTGAAAAACTTACAAAAACTTTATTTTAACCAAAATAAATAACTCAGGCAGCATTATCTCTCAGCCTTTGTCTTGTATTTACATTTTAATCTTGCTTTCTCACTCAGAATTCATCTTTCTTGATGAAAATAGCTATATAATTGTTCTGTTATTAACATATTCATATTCAGTGCTATGGTATCCTATACATATGTAAATAAATGTTTAGGGTGCTATGTCAAGAACATAGCAAGATTATAAAACTCTAAGAAAATCCACTATTAGTAAGAGGTCATGGCATTTTATTTGTACAGGGTTTTTTTTTTTTTTGAACTTTGAAGTTTTTGCTGAACAAGGGAGTGGGAAGTATTTGAAGCAATTGTACATTAACAGCCTGGAGTTTCCTGTTTGCGTTAACATAAACGAGAAGTGACACTGCATTGCATGTGGATGATTACTGGCATTTACGTAGTACTGGGAGTTGGTTACAACTTTCATGTGTCAGCAAAAGAGGGAGGCATTTTCTCTTGGCTTTACAGAAAATATGTGATAAGGCTCCAGAACACTGTTTGCCTTGAAACTAGCTTTGTTCAGAGCATATCCAGCCACAATTTTCTTTTTTTTTTTAAAGAAATAGTCAGGAAGATCCTGGATCAAAGTGACCTAGTTTCTGTCTCCAGTCAAAACACTATGGAACTTCTATATTGGGACTTATTTGCTTTGGTGAATTTGGGAAACATAAAGCTTTAAGTGAGAACGTTTTCAAATTGAACTGTAATGGTCATGACACACAATAGATGAAAAATAACCAGGAAGGCAAATTTTGTTTAGCCATAGAAACTGACGCCTATGAAATGTTTTCTTTCACTAGGAGGAAATTCAAATGTTATTGTCCCTGGGTTTGTTTGTTTTTTTCACATTGACACCATTCCACTGTTTTGGTGTTACATTGAGTAACTGGGAAAATGGGGCAATTACAATTTGATTCCCCATTATATGAGTGGTCTTTTTATAACTGATCAAATTAATGGAGTGAATGTTGTTGGATTGCACCCGAGGGAAAAAAAGTTAGCCATCACTAGCCTACGATTTTCCTGGTGGTTTTTCCTTCCAACTATTAATCAGGTCAGACCTCACTTAGCTTCTCCTGGTATATGTCAGTCTTACTGACTGGTGTGTGATTAGATAAGGAGCACAAATGCAGCAGTGGCTTCACATCAGCATTAGGAGTTTGGTAGAGATTTGCCATCATGGTAGATTCTGAAACTTGGGAAATAGTCTCATTTTATTAAAGAGGGAGAAGGGACATTGGTTTAAATACAAAGCTAAGATTGTAATAGGAATCACTTGGTACTGTACTGGCTCTTAATTCTCTGCAAACTCTAGATTTAAAACATAAAAATATGCCCATGTTTTGCTGTCCTGATAGCTAAATAATAATAGTTTCTGATAGGCTTTAATTTGGATTAAGATGGATTGGGAGATGGTAATGGTGATCTTAATGACTCAAATACAATTATTGCTTCGGTATTTTTCATCTCAGGGCATGTGAAAACAGCTTGGAGACTATTAATAAGGAAGCAAAGTGTAACAGGATTAAATGGGTCCCCAACCAAGAAAGCAAAAGCCAGACTAAGACCAAGGTTACACATAGAATGCACATAAGAAGCATTGGGCTCAGCAGCCAGTCCAAATAGTGATTTCTTCTTTTCCCAGAAAAATTTCCCAGCATGCCCAGGGTAAAACAACAACAATCAACTGCCGACTTTGCAATGACGAAGTTGAAACTGTTTCACATTTAATATATGAGTGCAGCAAAATCGCGCAAACTGATTATTACAAAGCTAGACATGACTGAGTTGCTAAATTAATCCATTGGTCATTATGTAAAAAATACAACTTACCTGTATCCGAAAAGTCATGGGAACATAAAGTAGAAAAAGTTGTCAAAAATGAGAAGGTGGAGATGATGTGGGACTTTCGAATACAGAC